GTGGATACCTAAAATACCAGATAGTACTGAACCCTGTGTATACTGTCTTCCTATACATTCATACCTGTGATAAAGTTTAATTTGTAAACTAGGAAGAGTATGAGTTTAACAACCATAGCTAATAATAGGACAGTTGTAACAATGTACTGTAATCAAACTTATGTGAATGTTGCATTATTCAGCAAAATATGAGTTAATTGAACACAAGCACTGTAATACTCTGATAACTGAGAAATGATACACTTGACAAATGTCAGCCACTTTTTTCTGATTTCAGAGGAAGAAGTGATCGGAATATTAATGATGAATCATTAACTGCCTGCCTCCTGCATGCCCCTCACTGGGGACCAATGCCCGACCAGGAATCGAAACTGCAACCTCCTAGTTCATAGGTGGACACTGAGCCACACTGGCCTTTTGGAGTTTGAGTTTCAGCACATCCACCCTATATAATAAAAGGCTAATATGCAAATTGTCCCATGGGCGTAAGTTGGATGTGTGCTGACCACCAGGGGGTGGTGCAGACTATGGCAGGTATTAGTGACGAGACGCTGCTGGCCCTGATGGGATGGCAGAGCAGGTGAGCAGGTGGTGACTGGCCAAGGCAGGTGCAAGCCAGGTCCCCGGCTGCCTCACAGATGGGCCCTGATTGCTGGCCAGTCCTAGGGACCCTATTCCTCTAGTTGTCTACATGAACTTGGTATTTTCAGTTATTAACCAGCTCCTCTAAGGGGAGTCTAGACATTATATATTCAAATTTTGCAAAATGTAACTGGGACTGTTGTACCCAGAGTAAATTCAATGAACCCAGACTATCTCTGTACAAACTAAAGGCAAAACCCTAAAAACTAAGCTTACCACAGTGCTTAGCTGTGCCAGATTCTGTGCTAAGGAACTTACTGTGCATTATCTCATTTACCTCCCATATAGCTACAATGACTATTTTCCACCTGTAGATGAAATTAAGACCTGCATTAATAGATCACAAGGTAGGCATATAAACCTATGTAACCAATAATAGATTTGTTGAAACTACATTTCCAAAAAAAGTTTTTTTCAGTTTCCTTGATTCTCAACTCATTGCAATCTTAAATCCACTCACACTACAGTGATACTGCTCCTGTAGGGAAGTTATCCTTTGCATTCTAAATTTCGGACAAGGGACCTATAGTTGTGGACCTGTTTTAGTTTTTATACAAACCGGAACACCTCTCTTAAATATGGTCACAGCTCACAGTTTGAGGAGCCGTATGAGATCTGTGTTACTGTATTTATTGCTTAGAAATAGGTAGTTTTTCCATAGCTATAGTAATTTCTTGGAGTCTGCATGAACAAGCTTGAAGGAAGAATGTTTATTCTGTTAGGAATAATCATGATTAGACAGCTATTCTTTTTTACTGATTTCAGAGAGGAATGGAAACATTGATAAGCTCATCCCACACAGGATTGAGCCCACAACCCAGGCATGTGCCTTGACTGGGACTCAAACTGTGACCTCCTGGTTCATAGATCAACACTCAACCACTGAGCCACACCATCCAGGAAGGTAGATATTTTTATATATTTCGTGTTTTTAATCCTCACCTGGGGATATTTTTCCATTGATTTTTAGAGCAGGAGAGTGTAGAAACTTCAATGTGGCACACTGATTGCTTGCCACCCACATGAGCCCCAACCAGGGCTTGGGATTGAGCCTGCAACCCAAGCATGTGCCCTTGAAGGAATCGAACCTGGGACCCTTAAGTCCACAGGTCTAAGCTCTATCCACTGGACCAAATCAGTAAGGGCTGGGCAACTTTCTATGAAGAGCGCAATGGATTCTCCCTGCCCAGTCTCAAAGAATAAGCTAAAACTTAAAAGGGAATTTTAAGACTAACATTTGGTCTTAAAATTTTTTAAATAAGCAAAAACCTTAAGTTTGGGAGTGTTATGAACATTTATTGTTGGGAGGAACCAATGAAATGGTGCTTAGGAGTGCCTATTAGTGAATGTTCAAAACCTATGTAAAAAGAAAAGGCATTTGTAGCCCTCTCGATGTGCCTTCAGAATTTTCTACCTCACCTAAGCTGGCCAGCCCAGTAATAACCATTTCTTGAAATTTCAAATAAGACTTGATGAAATTAAAGCAATTTAAATTATGAACGAAGTAAACATAAGGCATTTTTAAAATATGTAAATTCTAGAGTAATTATTGGAAACTATCAGAATTTGTAGCATCTCTTTCCAGTACTTTGCCAGGGATTTATATATAAACTGAGTGTCTATTATGTTCTGGGATAGGAGAAATATATGATAAAATACAGATCCTTCCTCATAGTCTTAGTCTCATAATGAAAGGTATAAACACATGTAAAAAGTTTATGAGAAGTTGTTATTGAAGATGGCACTTGAGCTTGTCTTGACTCCTAAAGGGTTGGATTTATACTCCTGTTACAGGGAGTAACATGAATGAAGGCATGTAAGTGGGGAACAATGTTCCACTCGTGGAATACTCATGTATTAATTTTGACCAAATTCAGGATAGAGGGGACCCTTCAGATATGTTGGAGGATCAATAACATTTGAGGTGGACAATGAATGGGACATGGAAAAGCCATTTCCTCATCTGGAAAATACTTATTTCAAAGAATTAATCTAAGAATTAAATAAATATTTAGGACCATGCCTAGTGTGTTCACGGTTATCATTCCCCGGCATGCCATAAAAAATCAGTTCCGACAATGTCATCCATTTTACTACCAAGTCCAATAGTCAAGTTTTCTCTCTTATACTAGAGGCCTGGTGCACGAAGTTCATGCAAGAGTGCAGTCCCTAGGCCTGACCTGCAATCAGGGCCATCTTCCCGGGCTGCACAAGCCGGCCCTGCCCCCAGTTCCCCATTAGCCATAGGTGATCAGAGCCTGCTGGCAGGGGCAGGAACCAAGAGGGTGGCCATTATACACGCTCGCTGGCCCTGCCCCCACTGTGGGTTGCCCTGTGTGTGTTGTGGGGACTAGTGGGGCAGGGGCCTTGATCTAGTACCACCTACATCCCTGCCACCTGCCCCTGACTCCCCATTCGCCATTGGGCAATCTGAGCCTGCCAGCTGGGAAAAGGGACCGAGAGAGAGTGTACCTCAGGTGTCTGATTGAGCAGTTGTTCTGGTCATTCCACCATTATGGTGAATTAGCATATTACCCTTTTATTATATAGGATTCTCAGCAACACTGACAGGATCCATCACTCTCCTTGAAATCCTTCCTACTTAATGGATTCTTCTCCATCTTCTTCCCTAGATCGTTCTACCTCTTCTCTCCCTCTTCAAAGCCAAGATTCAGACTTAGTACTCTGGATACCTCCCTTAGCAATCCACTCACGCAGTGCATTTCTGTCCATGCAGATGTGGTAAATACTTAACGAAAGGTTAGTAGAAATTTGGGAAGTCATCATCATATGTAAGGTGACTACAGCTTTACCTTGAGCTAAATACCTTGAAAATAATGACACATTTAACAAAATTTACAACTACTCAGTAATTCCTAGGACACAGAATAAATTGTTTTAATAACTATTTTCTGACAAAATTAAGAGAGCCTTTACAGTTGCCTTTCAAGGCACAAAGAGGAGGGTACTCTACCACATCAAATTCCCCATGGGTAAGACAGTGAAGCACCTTGTTACACTTGTCAAATATTAATTCTCAAATTCTTAACTGGTCTTCATAATACACTAGGCCCTTATTTTCCCATTGGCCAAGTGAAATGTTTGCCAAAGTACTTTTATGGACTTAGATTACTGTTCAGTTATACTTAAATGGGAAGGATCTTGGGCCTGATGGACAAAGCAGTGGGAAATTATCAGCTCTTGATACATTCAGTCTCCTTGTTACTGTGGTCACAGCTGACATTCCAGAGCAGCACACCTGGCCCAGGAAAAAATCATCAGAATCTTCCAGAAAGGCCTCAGGGTTGGTGGGTAGCCATTGAAGAGAGGTCAGAAGCCATGTGTTGGATGAGAGGATGAAATGAACACTAAGCAAAAAGTTGAAAGAAAAAGAAAATCCAACTGACAGCAGATGATTCCATTTGAGACCTACTACAGTGCACATGTCTTTGCGTGTAAATTCTCTTTTTCCTAAATTGAGCTGTCATTTATAAATTGTGTTTTAAAAGAGCAATGTTGAAATAAAAGGTATAAAAGTCTCAGGAGGAGACGAGAAGAGCAGAGTTAGAGTTAAGAAGCCTGCTCTTGCAGACAGCAAAAACTACACAAATGAGAGAAGAGAGAAACAGACAGAGAACATGGATGTGAGAGAAACATTGATTGGTTGCCTCCCATGCATGCCCTGACCAGGGCTGGAGATGGAGCATGTAACTGAGATATGTGCCCTTGACCAGAATTGAACCCCTGACCCTTCAATCTGCTCTATCCACTGAACCAAACTGGCTAGGGCTTGACATAGCCTTATTGAAATAGCAAATAGTAAGACTTAAATTTTAAAAGTTATTGATCCTGCTTCCTAGTAATTACTTAGTCCATGGTTAGATTAGGTAGGGCAAATTTGAGATCAGTGAAATAGTAATTATATTAAAAAACAATAAGTGAGCTGCATGTCAACAAGATTGAGGTTACAGTAAATCAAAACTGCCTTTTGGCTCAGTGGATAGAGTGTCAGCCTGCAGACTGAGGGGTCCCAGGTTCAATTCCGGTCAAGGGCATGTACCTTGGTTGTGGGCACATCCCCAGGAGAATATGTGCAGGAGGCACCTGATCAATGTTTCTCTTTCACTGATATTTCTAACTATCACTCTCCCTTCCTCTCTGTAAAAAATTAATAAAATATGTCTTTAAAAAGTAAATTAAAACTTTAAAAGCAAATTATGATGCCAGTATCCAAACTCATCTTTGATATGGATTGATTTTTAGAAAGGGAGGAAGAAATGGGAATGTGAAAACAAAGTAAGTCCAGCTTTGATTTCATCTCATTCTGTTCAGTTTCTATTAATTGATGGATGGATCCTCTAGAATTTCTGCAAAAAAAATAAATAAAATAAGATTAAAAATTATAAATATCATCTAGGTATAATTAATAGCAATCAACAAAAGAAATGATACATTGTGATTATATTTTTACACTTTATATAAAAAACTAGAGGCCTGGTGTAGGAAAATCATGCACGGGGGGGGGGGGGGGGGGAGGGGTGTCCCTCAGCCCAGCCTGCACCCTCTCCAATCTGGGACCCATTGAGGGATGTTAAACTGCCCACAGGAATCACTTCTAAATGGTCAGTTGGACATCTCTCTCACAATCCAGGACTGCTGGCTCCCAACTGCCTGCCTTCCAGATTGCCCCTAACTGCTTCTTCCTGTCAGCCTGATCACCCCTAACCACTCCCCTGCCAGCCTGATTGATGTCTAACTGCTCCCCTGCCAGCCTGTTTGCCTCCAACTTCCCTCCTCTGCTGGCCTAATCACCCCTAACTGCCCTCCTCTGTTGGCCTGGTCACCCCTAACTGCCCTCCCCTACAGGGTTGATCACCTCTAACTGCCCTCCCTTGCAGACCTGGTCCCTCTCAACTGCCCTCCCTTGCAGGCCTGATGCCTCCCAACTGCCTTCCTTTGCAGGCCTCGTCCCTCCCAACTGCTCTTCCAACTGCCCTCCCCTGCTGGCCATCTTGTGTCCACATGGGGGCAATTACTGTGTGTAAGAGTGATGGTCAATCTGCTTATTACTTTTATCAGATAGGATAGAGGCTTGGTGCATGGGTGGGGCCAGCTGGTTTGCCCTGAAGGGTAGGGGTTCCCTGAGGCATGGGGCAGCCTGGGCGAGGGGCCTGTAGTGGGTTGCAGACCGGCCACACGCCCTGGCAACCCAAGCAGAGGCCCTGGTATCTGGGATTTATTTATCTTCTACAATTGAAACTTTGTAGTCTGGAGCAAAGCCAAGCCTCCTGCTTGCTCCATGGCTGCAGCCATTTGTTTGGATTTGTTTACCTTCTGTCATTGAAACTTTGTATCCTTGAGTGTCCTATATTGCCGGGAAACCCAAGCCTCTCAATTTCTCTCTGTGGCTGCAGCCATCTTGCTTGGGGTTAATTTGCATGCTCACTCTGATTGGCTGGTGGGCATGGCTTGAGTGGAGTGATGGTTAATTAGCATATTACTCTTTCATAAGGTAGAATAGTTGGGAATACATTCCCAATGATATTATCAAACTTGCTATTGTTGGGAGTCAGATATATGGATCACAAATACTATATTGAGAAAGACATAGCTGTTAACCCAAATTGCCAAATGTCAATTAAAATTTTGTTCCTAACATTTAAGTGTTAATTTTCAAATGTTCTCCTCAATTGACACATGTACTTTCTTTTCTTTTCTTTTTTTTTTTAAATGTATTGTATTGAGTTTTTACAGAGAGGAAGAGAGAGCGGGATAGAGTTAGAAACCTCGATGAGAGTGTCATCGATCAGCTGCCTCTTGCACACCCCCTGCTGGGGATGTGCCCGCAACCAAGGTACATGCCCTTGACCAGAATCGAACCTAGGACCCCTCAGTCCGCAGACAGACGCTTATCCACTGAACCAAACCGGTTTCGGCACATGTACTTTCTTTGGAATGGTAACATACTCACTTTCACTGGTTTTGTTGTTGCCAATATCTCAGATGTTCCATCCTTCACATCCAGTAAAGAATGCTTTTCTGGGTGGCATGCCTTGAGTGCTACTGGAGTAGTAGCTAGGTTTGGGTTATATTTTGATAAAACCTAAAAACAAGCAAATTCCTTTTTATTAAGTCATAGGAACAACATAAATTTGGAAGGTATTATTAAAGTCAAGAAAACCCAAGAAAAATTAGAGAGTATAGGTTGTTTGAAGCAGTAAGAATTTTCAGCAGCAGACGGATGCTTTACCATCACAGAAATGATGGTAACATTAGAAATTGAACTGGGGTATGGAGGCTTGATTTCTAAAGCTTCTAAAATGTGCACTAAGGCTAATGGAAGCAAGTAGCAATGTGTCCCCGTGAACAAATTAAGCCTTTACAAAGATGTTGGGAAAAAATATATATAGGAAAGAGGCAAAATAAATGCTAAAAAAATCATTACATAGATTATAAAGAATTTGAAACATCAACTATGAGTGTTTTCATAAAGAGTGACACATTAAATACAATGTTTCCCTCTTTTAACATAGAAACAAAAAGGGAAGTGGAACTCTCTTATAATGCTTATAGACAGAAACAACTCCTCATTCAATTTATGATGCCCAGAAAAAAACACACACATAAAAAACCACAAAAAACAAGAAAGCCAGAGAAAGGTGTTTAGTGAACCCTTTACTTATCTTAGGATGATTGTTCCAATGGCATTTAGGTGTTTTCCCAAGTAGTTTTATCTTTCTTATAGCTCTCCATAAATTAGGAAGGTTCAGAATAACCATTGCCAAACACTACAACTCTTTGGCAGGGTGGGGGTGAGGGTGACTGGAAGAACCAGACTGGTGGTTATTTAGATTTGGCAGTTGCTATAAATCAGTAGCTGATTAGTAGTGAATGATGTTGTACTAAAGAATTAGAGATTCTAAATCAGTGTTTCTCAAGTTATTCATGTGAAGAACTGTAGGATAAATGACATTCCTCACTTGGGCAGCAACACCTCTCATGGGAACAGTGGTCAACATGACTATCACAGGTGGACAATTATTATAGAATACATTACAAGAATACATTCTGAACTTGATGTTAAAGAGAAAATGCCCCAAGGGCATAAAAGTATGATGATGTCACTAACTTCTGCTCAACCCAAAGAACCTTAACAGGCAGTGTCAGAAAAGATGTAGCAGCCCAGAATTTAGATTTTCTCAGTAACCAAACCAGCACATAGCCCAATGATAAATAACAGTTTACATCAGAGATTACATAGATCTCTAACTTTGAAAAAAAGAAAAGCAAAACAAAACAAAAACAACATAGTCTGGAAAATAACCTGGAGAATGTCTTCTGGAATTGTAGTTACTTGTGGAGGTGTAGGTGTTCTGAGGAGATTCTCATAAGAAGAAATCACAGGGGAAGAGGGAGCTGCAAAGCTCTCAAAGCACTTGTCTGAATTCAAAACTAATGTTGTACAGTATTTCATTTCCAAATCGTTTGATGAACTATTTGTTTTTGATAATGGATAATCTGTGGATACCTAAAGAATAAAAATAAATCATTAAATTATGGTGGTATAAAATAATGGAAAATAAAAATTGTCAGTCAATTGGTTAGTTCTAATGGGGTCTTTATTTTTTTTTCACCATCTATATATTTTTATTGATATAATTGGCTGTTATTCTCTAGATAATCTAGATGGACAAATGATTTATAAATAGTTGGATAAAAATAGACAAACAGATATGTAAGTACTTGAATAAAATGAATTTAAAAATTACATATTTTAATAATAAATTGTTGACTATTCTGGATATTTGGCTCTCCATATAAACTTTAGAGTCTGTTTGTAGATATCCATAAAATAACTTGCTGTCTACTTAGATGGGTCTAATGGGGTCTTTAAATAGACTTCCCAATCAAATAAAGAAAGAAATGGCATATGGCAGACAAAGTACCACCTTCATTATCAATAAAGGATGAGCTACAGCTTAATATAAAAAATGGACTGAATCCTAGATTTAGATGATTCACCCATCTCCAGTTTCAGGCAACTAACTAGACTAGATGAGAGTCATAGCATGAGGAATGGACAAATTACCACAGGCCCTCACCCCCAAGAGGAAGAAATGTTTGAGGGAAACCAGCATTTTGTTTCTCTACAGCGACCGTGTCCAACACAGTAGCCAAATCATTGTTTAAACAATGAAATTAGTAAAAATTTAAAAACTTAAAATTAGTTCCACAGATGCAATTGCCACATTTTATGTGCTCAGTAGCTGGCTGTGACTAGTAGCTACTATTCCGAACAGCACAGAATATAGTACATTTCCATCACTGTGGAAAGTTTTATTGGACAGGCTGGTCTACCATATGGGTTGTCTTAAAAATTCATACCAACTTTAAAGTAGAATGAGGTTTTGATAATAGTAAATTTGTTCACTGGGGAAAATTAGGGGGGAAAAAGGAGGAGAGGGCAATGAAAATCACCCATAAATAACCACATTTTGGTGTGTTTATATTCATTTTTTTCCCCTTAAAATGTAGTAATCCCAACCTTATCCACAGGAGATATGTTTCAAACCCTAGATAGTACTGAACCCTACATGTACTATGTTTATTCCTATACATAAATACCTATAATAAAGTTTAATTTATAAAACAGGTACAGTAAGAGATCAATAACTAATATAAAAAGAGCAATTATAACAATATGCTGTAATAAAAGTTATGTAATTTGAACACAAGCATTGTGATACCTTGATAGTTGATCTGATAACTGAGATGAGCACTAAGTAACTAACAGGAGGGTAGTATCTACAGTGTGAACAGGCCAGACAACGGGATGATTTATATCTCATATGGAGCAGGAGGGTGAGATTTTATAACTCTACTCAAAGGAGCAAAATTGAAAACTCATGACTTGTTTATTTTGGGAAATTTCCATTTAATATTTTCAGATTGCAATTAACCACAGGTAACTGAAATCACAGGAAGCAAAACCACGGTTAAGAGAGGACAACTCTTACATATACATACATGTCACTTTCCATATCATTAAATACTTGAACACATTGTATATGTTCTTATATGTTTTTCAAAAACATGATAGTTATGTAACACTGGACCTTACTGACATACCATAATGTATCTTGCTTCTCTTCTACCATTTGACATTTAGATTGTTTTCATGCTTTGCTCTAAAAATAATTTGCTATAACAAATCTGTCCCAGTCAGCCTTATAATAAATACTGACATGTTTAAAAGGTATGAAAAAGTTTAAAGCTCTTAATATATGCTACTAAGTTACCCTCCAGAAATATATGGTAAGTATACAAATAAAGTCTGCATTATTCTAACTTTTTAAACAGACTGTTTGAGTCTAGAAATAGTTGTGTATCTGAGTCATTAGGAACAAAATTAGCTTTTCAATTTTACGAAAATTTACCAAAGCTGTTCTGTTCTTTGTAGAAGGAATTTTCAAACCAGGAGTACAGAATGTAGGTGCCAAGGGAGACTTTGTATATTCATCATCTAGAAGACACATACAATCACGTGAAAATAAATATTTGAAAATAAAGTTGAAATACAAATTTCAACTTTTAAGTTATAATTCTTGTCAATATAATTTGTGATTATTTTTTAATAAATTATAACTAACATATGCTTAGTTGGACAGGAAAAAAAATCAAAACTCAAATCACATATCTAATTATCACTAGTACTAATAGAAGTTCAGCAAGACACAAGTGCTATATGCAAAAATGAGTAATTCTAGCATAAAAGCAAGAAACAAAAATATAATTGAAAGAAAGATTTTTTTTTACTATAGTAACAAGATTAGAGAAAGATACCTTAAACCAATTAACTGTTTAAGACCTTTATGGAGAAAATAAAATTTCTGAAAAATAAAAAGGAGGAAGGAGGCCAGGAAGTCGCTTGTTATCCAGGATATCAGGAACAGAACTATGCATATACATATATTTGATATCTATACCACATAGTATTATGAAAGCAATCTTTAAAGAATACCAAAGAGAAACTGTGAACATGTGAGAAAAGTGATCATCAGACTGGCAAAATCTGATTAGGTCTAAATATCTTTAAGTGCTAAAGATGGAGAAGCATTAATCCAAACACTGCTTGGGGACATAAAAGCCACCTTCGGGGCAATTTAGCATCTTAGAGTAAGTGAAGGTGTGCATCCCCTTTCACCTGGAAATTCTACTACTAGAGTGAGAAACACGTGTGTACAGGCATAATTTTCATTATAGTACTGTCTGTAATAATAAAAAATAAAAACAAGTCAACTCTCAATTAAATGGCTTATTCATACAGTGGAACAATACTGAACAATTAAAATGGATGAACTACCCTAGCTGGTTTGGCTCAATGGATAGAGCATTGACCTGCGGACTGAAGGGTCCCAGGTTCGATTCTGGTCAAGAGCACATACCTGGGTTGCAGGCTCAATCCCCAGTAGGAGGTGTGCAGGAGGCTGCAGAGCAATGATTCTCTCTCATCGATGTTTCTCTCTCTCTCTCTCTCTCCCCCTCTTTCAGAAATCGATAAAAACATATATATTTTTAAAATGGATGAACTGGATTTACATAGATTAATATACTACTAAAAAACATACTGTGAGGCGAAAAAAGCAAATGGCAAAAGAATACAAATTATATGTTGTAACTTATGTGAAATTTTAAAACACAATTATACTTTGTTGATCATTATTTTGGGAAGGAAGGAAAATAATTGAGTGGGGCTAGGGATTTAGCTTTAGGTATAACTTTTTATTTTTACTTACTTACTTACTTACTTATTTATTTATTTATTTATTTATTTATGTTTTTATTTATTTGATTTTTTTTACAGAGAGGAAGGAAGAGGAATAGAGAATCGGAAACATTGATCAGCTGCCTCCTGCACACTCCCCACCAGGGATGTGCCCAAAACCAAGGTACATGCCCTTCGATTCAAACCCGGGAATCTTCAGTTCGCAGGCCGACTGGTATAATTTTTTTTTTTTTTAAGATTTTTAAAATTGATTTTTAGAAAGGGTATGAGAGGGATAGAGACATGGATTTGAAAGCGAAACATTAATTAGCTGCCTCCTGCACTACTAGGGATCGAATGTGCAGTCCAGACATGTGGCCTGATTGAAAATATAACCGGCAATCTTTTGGTGCATAGGATGGCTCAACCAACTGAAACAAACTGGCCAGGGCACCTTAGGTATATAACTTTAGTTTTTTTTTTTAATTTTCTTTTTTTTTAAAATATATATTTTATTGGTTTTTTACAGAGAGGAAGGGAGAGATAGAGAGCTAGAAATGTCGATGAGAGAGAAACATCGACCAGCTGCCTCTTGCACACCCCCTACCAGGGATGTGCCCCGCAATCAATCTACATGCCCTTGACCGGAATCGAACCTGGGACCTTTCAGTCCGCAGACCAACGCTCTACCACTGAGCCAAACCGGTTTCGGCTATAACTTTAGTTTAAAAAAATTTGAAGCAGCCGAAACCGGTTTGGCTCAGTGGATAGAGCTTTGGCCTGCGGACTGAAAGGTCCCAGGTTCGATTCCGGTCAAGGGCATGTACATTGGTTGCGGGCACATCCCCGTTAGGGGTTGTGCAGGAGGCAGCTGGTCGATGTTTCTCTCTCATCGATGTTTTTAGCTCTCTATCCCTCTTTCTTTCTCTTCCTCTCTGTAAAAAAATCAATAAAATATATTTTAAATTAAAAAAAAATTGAAGCAAATATAGCAAGATAATAACATCTATTTAATTTGATATTTTCAGTATATACCTATACACCTGGGTTTTTAAGATAGGGCAGCTAACCTAAAACCTGTCTGCAGCCCTAGCCAGTTTGGTTTAATTGATAGAGCATTGACCTGCGGAGTGAAAGGTCCAGATTTGATTCTGCTCAAGGGCACATGCCAGGGATTGTGAGTTCAATCCCCAGTAGGGGTTGTGCAGGAAGCAGCCGATCAATGATTCTCTTTCATCATTGATGTTTCTATCTCTCTCCCTTACTCTCTGAAACCAATAAAAATATATTTATAACAATAACAACAAAAAACCTATTTGCAATGGGTAACCCATGGAGCCCTGGCTGGGGTAAGCATTAAACAGCTCCAGAGAGCACACAGGACTACCACTGAAAACGTCCATTTAAAGATGAGTTAAGAGGATCCAAGATGGCTGCTAGGTAGACACCTAACCGCAGCAGCACACAACAATTTCAATGGAATACAACTAAAATGTAGAGTGGACATTGCCCAGAGCTACAGGTAGTCGACTGACTGAAAATTCTACAACAAGAAGGAAAGAGAAAACCAGAAGGAAAATCAGAGGACCTGAAAAATCCTAAGATACGGAGACATGCTGCACGCACAGATGTGCGTGTGCGGAGAGGTCGCAGCCGGAGGGGAGGAGAAGGCTGGGTGCCTGCCTGGCGTTCCCAAGCAGGAAGGAAATAAAAACCCCGGCCTGGACTGAACCCCAGAACCGGCAGCGCTGAGCCCCAGTTATGGGCCAGAGCTTGGGCAGGGGGAGACGGGGCTGTGAGGCGGAATCTCAGGGGAGCGGTGAAAAGCGGAGCCCCCGGAGTCGCGCACATTGCGCACAGAGGACAGAATGTTGACCCTGATGCCGTATTGCCCTGGCGGGAAGAAACAAAACCTCCGGCGGTGCTGGGTCCCACTGCCAACTGCTCTGAACCCCAGTTCTAGGCCAATCCCTGGGGACCCAGGCTCAAGCAGAGGGAGACGGGGCTGTGAGGTGGAGTCCTGGGAGAGCAGCGAAAGGCCGAGCCCCCGGAGCCGCGCACACTGCGCGCAGAGGACAGTCTGTTGACTCTGATGCTAGACACCGGTAGCGGGAAGGAGAAAAAAAGCTCCAGACTGGAGGAATGCGACGAGGAGCAGGAGCCCCTGCTGGACACGGGCCAGCCAGGTGCCAGCAAGGAGCCGGGCGACGGGGCCCCCAGGGAAGGGGATGCCCCTGGGCCTTCGGCCCGCAGAGAACAAAGGGGTACCACAGGCCAACCTGCTGAGCTTCCAGGACAAGGAGGAAGAAACCGAAAAAGTTTTCAATGTGAAGAAATCAAGTGAGAGCAAAAGATAGTAAAATTATTTAAGAAAGAATACAAAGAAGATCTTGAAAAATCAAAGACTAAGTCAGAACTCAACTCAGAAGCCAACATTGCAACATAAATGCGTTAAAAAAAAAAAAAAAAAAAAAAAAGGACAGAATGTTGGAACAGCGGCGGCCAGGCCTAGAGTGGCCAGGCACAAGGCAATGGCAGCCGGGCCCGGAGCAGCAACAGCCAGGCCCCAGAGCAGCAGCAGCCAGAACCAGAGCAGCAACAGCCAGCACTGGAGCAGCCAGACCTGGGGCAGCGGCAGCCAGGCATGAGGCGGAGGTGGCCAAGCCCAGGGTGGCCAGTCCAGGAACACCCAGGCCCGGAGTGGCCGGGCCCAGAGCAGCTGGGTCGGGAGCAGCCGGACCCAGAACATCAGCAGCCAAGCCCAGAGCATCCAGGCCGGGAGCTGCCAGGCTCGAAGGGGCCCAGAGCAGCCGGGTTGGGAGCAGCCAGGCACAGAGCAGCAGCAACCATGCTTAGAGCAGCCAGCCGGGTCGGGAGCGGCAGTGGGCAGACCCAGAGCAGCTGGGTGTAGAACGGACCAGAGCAATAGGCGCTCCTTGCCTGCCCCTGCCCCACGGCTGCCTCTCAGACATGGCTGGAAACTTTTGCGGGAACATGAGGGTCTGCTGAATCAAGTGATGAAGGCTTAGATCTGGATATGTTGAGTTAGTATAGCACTGGGGTGTTGATCTGTGAGTGCCTTGTGTGGGGCCTGGATGAGGTTGGTTGATCTATTTGGAAATGTCTTTTGTGTGAAGTGTATCCTTGGGCATGTGGAGGTATTATTGATATGAGAAAATACTAAGTAACTGATTTACTATCTGAAAAGGGATTTACTATCGGGGAAAGGGAGGGAGGAAGAGACTGAACATAAACTGTGCACCTGGTGGAGGGGGGAAGAAATGAGGAACCTCTGTAATAATATGAACAATAAAGATTGATTAAAAAAAAAATAAAGATGAGTTAAAAATGAAATGAATGTGAAGAAATAAGCCCCAGAAAGACAATCAAAGTGATAAACAAGAAAATGAATACCTTAAAGATTTTTCACATACATGTGTTTAAAATGTTCAAAAAGATAAACGGAGGCATAGAGATCATAGGCAAGAGAACAATACAGAAGGAAAAATAGAAAAAACTTATAAAAAATGTAATTGGAGTAAAAATTCAAGTGATGGATTAACATAATAAATTAGACTCAATGTAAGAGAGAAACAGCAATTGGAAGGATGTCTAAAGCACAAAGTAGCAAAGAGAAAGAGGAGAAAACTATCAAATGGAAGTTAAACTGGGAGGCTAAAGGGTAAGTTTCAATATATACCTTACAGGAATTTCAGGAGAGAAAAATTGAGGAAATAGGGGAAAGTATTATTATTAAAGAGATGTCAGAGCATTTTCCAGACTTAGATGAGTCCTTACTTTAAAAAAATCATCCCAGCCGAAACCGGTTTGGCTCAGTGGTAGAGTGTCGGTCTGCGGACTGAAAGGTCCCCGGTTCGATTCCGGTCAGGACATGTACATTGGCTGTAGGCACATCCCCAATGGGGGGTGTGCAGGAGGCAGCTAGTCGATATCTCTCTCTCATCGATGTTTCTAGCTCTCTGTCCCCCTCCCTTCCTCTCTGTAAAAAAATCAATAAAATATATATTTTTAAAAAAATAATAAAAAAATAAAAAAATAAAAAATCATCCCAAATTCTAAACATAATACATGAAAACAAATATACTACAGAGAAATTAAGAATATCAAAGATAAAAATAAAAATCTTATAGACTACCAAAAAGAAGAGATTTTCCTATAAAGAAAAGCTAACCAGACCAATAGCCCTCTGCTCATCAGCAATAGATACCAGGTCACAAAGGAATAATTTATTTAAAATACTAAAGAAAGATATCTGTCAATTTAGTCACCTATATCGAGTTAAATTATCATTCAAGAATGAGTGAAAGCCCAGCTAGTGTTGCATAGTGGTTAGTGTCGACCCATGCACCAAGAGGTCACTGGTTCAATTCCCGGTCAGGGCACATGTTCTGGTCTCAGTTTCTATCCCCTTGGGGGTCATCCAGAAGACAGTTGATTGATATTGATGTTTCTCTCTCATTGATGTTTCTATCTCCCTCTTCCTTCCTCTCTTTCTCAAATCAATAAAAACATATTTTAAAAAATGAGTGAAGCCCTGACTGGTTTGGCTCAGTGGATAGAGAGTCCCAGGTTTGATTCCAGTCAAGAACATGTACCTTAGTCGCAGGCACAATCCCAGTAGGGGGTGTGCAGGAGACAAATGATCAATGTTTCTAACTCTCTATCCTTCTCCCTTCCTCTCTGTTTAAAAAAAAAAAAATCAATAAAATATATATTTTTTAAAAATGAGTGCAAATATGTTTTCAGACATATAAAACTAGAGAATACTTCACATAGTAGACAATTTATGAAAGAACTGCTAAAGGCAGTACTTTACCCAGAAAACTAAACCCAGAAGGAATGAGTAAGCTATAAGAAGCAATGGCAAACACACAAAAAAAATGGTAAATTACTAAATTTTAATAAGTACAGACTATAAAAATTTTAATAGCTTTTGTGGTATAGAAATAGGGTCAAACAAAAATACAACATAAATTCTCTTACTTAAATTACTAATGGGTAAACATAAGCTTTTGATTCCTTCCATAAGAGATGCTGCTGATGGCCCACTGAAGGATTTCAGTCAGGAAGTCATAGAAGACAGTCTCCTTATTAAGGTCACTGGGAAGTGATTTCTGAGTATGATTGAAAGTAGTGGTCTAATTTCTCTTCTTTTTAAAAAAACAGGCTACTCTTTAATATAGCCATGTTTTTTTCTTAGAAGTTGAGCTTTAAGCTTACTATGAATGAGTTGCATTTTGTTACATCTTTTATGCCAGAGGTATTTGTTAATAACAAGTCAGTGAAATTAGTAAAGAGAATATTTCTGAAAATAATGTCTAAAACTTTGGAAAGATTTCCTAAAGACAAGTTATTTTAAAAGATTTGCCAATAAATTTGGTATCGATTTCTTTGAATAAGTAATTATTCAAAGAAATCATAAAACACTAGAAATTTTTTTATTTTATATTTTCATGAAAACCAGTGTTTGCTGGGACAAATAAGAGAAAATTACATGAAAATTTTCTCTAAGTTTTTATTCTCTTTAAAAAAAATGTGAATGGTAACTGATGTATTCTGAGTGTGATTTATATAGGAAAGATAATGTGTAATCTAATCAATAGGCTGAGGCTAAATTTAAAAAGGGTGCTATTGGCCGAAACCGGTTTGGCTCAGTGGTAGAGCATCGGTCTGTGAACTGAAAGGTCTCAGGTTCGATTCCGGTCAAGGGCATGTACGTTGGTTGTTTGCACATTCCCGGTAGGGGGTGTGCAAGAGGCAGCTGGTCGATGTTTCTTTCTCATCGACGTTTCTAGCTCTCTATCTCTCGGCCTTCCTCTCTGTAAAGAATCAATAAAATATATTAAAAAACAAAACAAAAAAAGGGTGCTATTGGCTCTATATAAAAAAATTGGTGAGTGAATGTATATTTAAATGCTTTAAAATGTTTTTAAAATGTTAAAAACAAACAAACTGACAAGTACTGAATATAACCAGGAAAAGTATAAAAAGAAAGAAAATTTTACCTTTCTCTCATATGAAATCATGCTGAACATGAATGGAATGAATGGTGGTACTTAATAGAACTTAATGTCACTAACTGAGAAGACACAGTAGGATATTAGAATATGTATATGGTGCATCATTTTTTACAAAGATCATATGGAAAGAGCATAGCTGAGAAGTAACTTGATTTTCACACTTACCATTTTTTTCCAATTGCTGGTTCATGAGGCCAGCAGTGGTGCTATCACTGGACAGTAGTTCTGATTCTACAGCTTCCTCACTGGTATGATTAATAAGGAAATTATAAGGTAAAAAAAATAGTTAATATTAAACCTCTGGGAAAATTTAATCTTAACCAGGGCTGGTATGGCTGTGGTTGAACATCGACCTATGAACCAGGAGAAAATGATATGATTCTCAGGGCACATGCCAGGGTTGTGGGCTTGATCCCCAGTAGGGGGCGTGCAGGAGGCAATTGATCCATGATTTTTTCTCATCATTGATGTTTCTCTATTCCTTTCCCTTCCTCTCTAAAATAAAAATACAGTAAAAAGTATAGCCCCGTGGTGAGCGTCAACCCATGAACCTGGAGATTGAGGTTTGATTCCCAGTCAGATCTCATGCCACACTTATGGCTCAATCCCCAGTGGGGTGGAGGGTTTTGAGGAAGCTGATCACTGACTCTCTCTCATCAATGATGTTGCTGTTTCTCCCTTCCTCTTTCTGAAATCAAGAAAAAAAAGTGGAAACATGGCTCAAAAAGCTTAAGAACCATTTTGTATTGATAGTTTTGACTTAGAAGTAGATTAAGAATCAGTTAAAGGAAAGTCATAAGTTCAACTCATTATATAAATTAATCTGTTTCTGAGCAATTTTGTTCCAGTTTTAGGTCCATTCTGTGAAGTTTTATACTGTTTTACTTAGTGTAGCTTTACTTACACACACACACACACTTTTTGTTAATCCTCACTCAAGGATATTTTTTCCAGTGATTTTTAGAGAGGGAGAAAGGGACAAACATCGATGTGAAAGACAATGATTGGTTGCCTCCCATACACTCCTCAACCCAGCCAGGGATGGAACCTGCAACCCAGGTAACTGAACCCGAGATCCTTTGGGTCTAACCACTGAACATACCAGCTGGGGCAATCCTTTAATTTTATTTTTTATCTTATCAAACACTATTCTTCTTTTCAGGCCAGTGTCACTCCTTTTATATCATCTAACCTGCAAAAATCAAGAGCTCACACTTTTCTGTATAGTTAATGATTCAGGGAAGTTTGAAATAAGAAGTATCTGAAAACCTCAGTCTGAAACATCACTTTTTCTAGGGGGAAAAAAAAATCAATAAATACAAAAGATATAGGAAGTTAGATAGGCTGTACCTTTTAACAAAGTGCTTGTTCTAACCGGCTTGGCTCAGTGGATAGAGCATCGGCCTGCAGACTGAAGGGTCCCAGGTTCAATTCCAGTCAAGGGCATGTCCCTTGGTTGTGGGCACATCCCCAGTAGGGGGTGTGCAAGGAGGCAGCTGATCAATGTTTCTCTCTCATCGATGTTTCTAACACTATATCCCTCTTCCTTCCTCTCTGTAAAAAAAATCAATAAAAATATATTAAAAAATAAAAGAAAGCTGCTTACCTTTTACTCTTCACATTTTTAAGTCCCATTGTGTAATCTTCATTCAAACACACAGTATATTCAGAGATACCGAAGTGCTCTAATTTAGGAGTCACACACTCAAAATCATCCATATTTATTGCACATTTTGGAGTTTTTAGTATTTTAACTGGTAATTGTTTGGAAGACGGAGTTAACGTGTTTGGCTCTTTCTTATGATTGTTTACTGCCTGTTGAGGATTTGGTGGAATTTGCGATATCAGGTACCGCTCAAGTCCAAAATCTGAAAGTTGTGGACTACATGGAATCTTCTCAGAAACAGAGCTGCTTGGAACAACAGGATTAGACATATCATCCTTTACATCAGGCTTTTGAAGGTTTTCATCTCTAGTGGACTCTGGTTTAGAGTCACTGGCTTCTTGCTCACCCACTGGGAAAAAAAGTCATATTGTATCCAAACATCAAATCAGGAAATCTCAAGTACTAAAACCACATAAAACAATTCCACTTGAAATGTCCTTCATCAGTAAAAGTCCTGATTCTGACCTTAGTCTCTAAGTTTTTATTCTAGTTGTACCATTAGTAAATTTCTGATATGCACCTATTGTCCACCCGTATCCCATCCCATTTTGATGACTTATTAGAGAAAGGAAGTAAACTAAGTGTTAAAAGATGAAAAAACAATAACCATAAATATAAGTTCAATTTCCTTACATCCCGGTTAATGTAAATTACCAGTTCTTAATATATTCTGAAACTATTTTATCACTTAATGACAGTAACTAGTGTGAAATTAACTACAATCTAGATTCAACATTAAGTATAAAATATTAATTTAAATATTGAACTTACAGATGCATAAAAAGGAAAGACTTATACAAAAATAAACTTTTATCCTGTCAGCCTGAAAGACAAGTATTCAAAAGCCTAGTGAGAGCCCCGCCGAGATGGCTCAATGGTTGAGCATCGACCTATGAATCGGGAGGTCACAGTTCCATTCCTGGTCAGGGCACATGCCCAGGTTGTGGGCTCCATCCCCAGTGGGGTACATGCAGGAGGCAGTCTATCACTGATTCTCTCTCATCATTCATTGGTGTTTCTCTCTCTCTCCCTGTCTGAAAACAAACCAAATAGAATTTATTTTTAAAAAGCCTAGTGAGAAAAATAACAGGACAGCATTAGAAAGATATGCAGTTCCACAACCTATGTCTAGCTCTTCACCTCAACATTTAACCAATACACTGTGCTAGTCAGGTTAAATAATTGACTGACAACTACACTTTTCCCGATAGTCCTTTGTTATTTCCTGGGTACACTGATGGTGAATGAATTTCATGTGGAACTAAGTTGGAGTTAAAAGATACATGACGGCACCTTCAGTGCCAAGTCCTTTCTTGTTCTCACCCGAAGATATTTTCCCATTAATTTTTAGAGAAAGAGTGGAAGGGAGAGGGAGAGACAGAGAGAGAAACATCAATGTGAAAGAGACACATCCTTGGTTGCTTTCCACATGATTAAGCCTGCAACTGAGGTACCTGTCCTTGGCCAGAATGGAGCCTGGGCCTTCAGTCCAGACTGACACTCTTACCCACTGAGCCAAACTGGCTAGGGCCCAAGTCCTTTTTTTTTGTTTTTGTTCACCCCATCTTTTCTTTTTTTAAATATATTCACTCCTAACTGGCTTTTTTTTAATTTTATTTCAGAGAGGGAGATGAATGAGAATCAATGATGAAAGAGAATCATCGACTGGCTGCCTCCTGCACACCCCACACTGGGGATCGAGCCTGAAACCTGGGCATATGCCCCAACCGGGAATCAAACCTGACTGATTAGTTCATAGGTCAATGCTCAACCACTGAGCCATCCCTGCCGGGCTGTTTACTCCATCTTCTACAGGGAGGTCTATAGTTCAGATAGGGCCTATCAGATTCGGTGGAGACCTTTGTCAGACCTGCCTGGGTCTAAAGGCAGAGGAAAGGGATGAATTCAGGCTGTACATTTACTGGATCAGCTAAGAGATCCAACAGAAGGTGGAGGAGAGGTGCACACTTGTTTTTGAAGATATAATTTTCATTGTTATGATCAGCAACTGGAAATAAACCAGGATAGGGTACTATTTCTGTACATAAACCAGTACATATTAAATCTGCAGGGTGCACCATCTAAAAATTTGTTATAATAAACTTTGATTTCATGGCTTTTGGCCATGGAAGAGCTAGCTACTGATTCACTGAGTTCTGTTTTGACATTGTGCTTTCCTATTAATTCTGAGAAAAGTTATGACTACCAAAAATCTCGTTGCACTTATTGTAAGGCTGTCAGTGATGAAATTAATAAATAAAATCATCACCATGACGATCCCCATTTCACGAGTGAGGGAAAAGCATTTGAAAAAATTCTCCAGTCACACATGTAGTAGTGTGTATAGGTGGTGAAGTCAGTATTTGAATTCATGGCTTGTACACACCAAAGTCAACTGAATGGTTTCTTTTACACCTTGTGGACTGTTTAATATCTTGCATAAAAATCTTCAGTACGGCGAAACTGGTTTGGCTCAGTGGTAGAGCGTCGGTCTGCAGACTGAAAGGTCCCAGGTTCGATTCCGGTCAGGGCCATGTACGTTGGTTGCGGGCACATCCCCGGTAGGGGGTGTGCAGGAGGCAGCTGGTCGATGTTTCTCTCTCATTGACGTTTCTAGCTCTCTATCTCTCTCCCTTCCTCTCTGTAAAAAAATCAATAAAATATATTAAAAAAAAATCTTCAGTACGTATTTATTGAACTTAATTAATGCTTTATTTATGTACAAAGATCACTCTCATAATGGAAATGAGGACAATGAAGCTCAAATTGGTCAAACAAATGTATGGGCACAACAATAACAACAGTTAACACCTGGCAATTAACATGCCAGATACTGTTCTAAGTAAACTTTATCTTATTTAATCCTAATACAACCTGAGAGGTAGCGACTATTAAACATCTCTATTTTACAAATGAGAAACTGAGGTACGAGGTGAGAAACTGAGGAACTGGTCAAAGACAATGCATCTGTTAAGTGGTGGAATCAGAGATTTGAACTCAGATAGTTTGGCTCTGAATTTAAAACCACTATGTTATACTACTCTTTATTAGAATTTTAAAACTGAAAAGGACTTTGTCATTTTACAAGGCAAAAATCTCTCATTCTACTGTAGAGGAACTTGAGATTTAAAAAAAAAAAAGGGGGGGGGGTGCGGAACATGCCTAAAGTTCAGTCTCATTTATTAGCAGAGTTGACTAGAAACCAACAAATCAACTTATCTGTTCTTTCATCTAACATTGTGTTAGTTATTGTCTAGCATTTAGAAAGGACAACACACAGTGATTATTGAATAAATGATAAAATGATGGTCACATAATGGCAGAGCAAGAACTAAAAGCCATGGTAAAGCCAAAATAGTCTTACTAAATCATGCTGCCCTTTCTCTTTTTAAAAAAAGTAGACTTTTACTAGAGGCCCGATGTATGAAGATTCATGCAAAAGTGGGCCTTCCTTCCCCTGGCTGCCAGCACCACCTTTCTACCTTTGTTCTGGCCCAGAGCCATCTTTCTGCCTTAGCTCCACCTGGAGTCACCTTTCCGCCTTCCCACACTGCCCAGAGGCCCAGAGGCTGAGGCGGTGCGGAACACCAGTGTTATTGCCATGGCAGCCCCTGGCCGCTTAAGGCCTGTGTATGCAAATAAACCCACCATCTTTGTTGGATTAATTTGCATGCTCGCTCCTAACTGACTTTTCTTAGTGTAGATTGATTTCAGAGAGGAAGTAAGAGGGAGAGATAGAAACATCAATGATGAGAGAGAATCATTGATTGGCTGCCTCCTGCATGCCCTCTGCTGGTGATTGAGCCCACAACCCAGGCATGTGCCCTTGTTGGGAATTGAACCTGGGACCCTTCAGTCTACAGGCTAATGCTCTATCCACCGAGTCAAACCAGCTAGGGCTGCCCTTTCTCTTTGATACTAAACAAACCCTATAAAATACAAGTTATTCATACCTGAATTTTTCTTGGCCTGTGGATTATATCCATACTTCTGGAAAAACTCTCTTATTTTTATAATATCTGCTGAGGTTTTTTTCATCAGTACTTTTGCCGCCTTTATGAAACCAATGCTTTCTTGACTTTCCAAACTTGCTTTATCAAGAAGAATATTGACATTATCCTTTTTAGGAGGAAAGAAAGTACATTATAGTTTCTCTAACTTTTGACTAAATTTATTTATATTTTTAAAATGATAAATATAGTAGGAGTGATACCTTTAGAGTCCGAACTTCTGAATTAAGGTCATGTAAAATTCTTACTGCATAACCTACAAAGTCTTCAATATAAGTGTTGAAAGGAAAAAGGGGGGGGGAGGGGAGGAAAAAGGAGGGGAAATATAAAAAACATAATTCAGTTTATTTTTTGAATTGCAAAATTCTTGTATTGATTTATAATTTATATCCTGCTAATCACAAAGAAAAGTGTTAAATTAAAGCCTTTCTTTAAAATTGGTATTAAACTACTAGAGAACTGGTGTACGAGATACATGCATGGGTAAGGTCCCCAGGCCTGGCCAGCAATCAGGACCAATCTGTGGGGCGATTGGCCCGGCGCCCCGCTCCCCCAGTACCCACCTTGGCTGGCCTCGGGCCTGCGGGTTGGGGGCAGCTCCAGCGTTGAGTATCTGCCCCTGGTGGTCAGGGCGTATCACAGCTACCAATCATTCGGCCATTCAGTCAATTTGCATATTAGGCTTTTATTATATAGGATAATGTACATACAAAAAAGTATAGAAATCCTAAGTATACAGCTTGATGAATTTTCAAAGTAAAAAGACCTACATAATCAACACTCAGATCAGGAAGAAGGGGAGGGACAAGATGTGAGAACATGGTGCTGAGCAATTTTTTCCTATATAGTGAGCAATTTTTGATTCGTATTTTAAAAATCTCCTTTACTAATAACACTTATATTTTCTTCTAAAAGCTTTATTGTTTTCCTTTGCATTCAGAGATAAAATTCATCTGGAATTGATTTTTCTGCATGAAATAAGAATGAAGATCCATTTTTCCCCCCTGAGTATACAATTGACTTGGCACCATTTACTGAAAAAAAAAAAAATTCTTCACCCACTATACTGTCACCTTTCTTATTTTTTTATTATTTTTTTTAATATATTTTATTGATTTTGTACAGAGAGGAAGGGAGAGAGATAGAGAGCTAGAAACATCGATGAGAGAGAGTCATCGATCAGCTGCCTCTTGCACACCCCCTACTGGGGATATGCCCGCAACCAAGGTACATGCCCTTGACCGAAATCGAACTTGGGACCACCTTTCTTATTAATCAGATATATAAAATATATTTTAAAAATATATAAAATAAAGGCAGTATTTTTAAGAATTATGTCTCTTGCCCTAGCTGGTTTAGCTCCATGTATAGAGTATCAGCCCATGGACTGAGGGGTCCAGGGATGAATTTGGATCAAGGGCACAAACCTAGGTTGAAGGCTCGATCCCTGACCCTGGTTGGGTGTGAGCAGGGAGCACCAATCAATGTGTTTCTCTCACATAGATGTTTCTCTCCCATTCCTTTCCACTCTCTCTAAAAATCAATGGAAAAATATCTTCAGGTGAGGCTTAACAACAACAAAAAAAGAATTGTATTTCTCTTTCCTAAAAAGATCTCCCTCTACCTGTTAAAAGTCAACCCATTTTCTGCCAGACCCATGTGGCTTAGTGGTTAATCATTGACCCATGAACCAAGAAGACACTGGTTGGATTCCCAATTCCCGGTTCAGGGCACATGCCCCAGTTTCTGGCTAGATCCCCAGTAGGGGGCATGCAGGAGGCAGCTGATTGATGTTTCTCATCAATGTTTCTAACTCTCTCCCCTTCTCCCTTCTTCTCAATTAAAAAAAAGTCAACCAATTTTCATTAGGGAAATGCAAATCTACAGATGATTTTCTACTTTATACACATTAGGATGTCTACAATAAAAAAGACAGGTAATAACAAATGTTGATGAGGATGTGAATAAATTGCAACTTCCATTCATTGCTGGTGGAACTATACAAATGGTATATCTACTTCGGGAAGCAATTTTCTTCCAAGTATATACCCAAGAGAACTGAAAACATTGTATTCAAATGAAAACTTGCAAATGAATATAAAACAAGTTGCTGATACACAATGACATAGATGCTAAGTGAAATAAGTCAGCCACACATACGATTCCATTTATATAAAATGTCCAGAATAGGCATATCTATAAAGAAAGAAGACAGATCAGTGTTTGCATAAGGCTAGTATGGTAGATGGAGGTGGGATTGCGAGCTGTTAACAATCATATGGGTTCCTTTAGGGGTTGATGAAAACTTAAACTTTACAACTCTGTGAATATACTAAAAGGCCATTGAATTGTATCCTTTAATGCCCAATTTTGTGGTATTTTAATTACATCTCAATAAAAATGTTTAAAAGTCAACTAATTTAATGACATCACAGTGATAATAAAAGGTAAAAAATTTTTGTGATCATTTTCCTAATGTTCACTATTCTATATTTTCTGTAATGGATATGGGCCTGGATTTATAAAATTATTCCAACTTTTTCTTGTAAAACCAAAAGAAAAGGCAGAATGTGTACACAGGTATATGTTGGTAAGAAGGTAAATTTGCAAAAGTTTGTGGAAAGCAATTCAGCTACATATCAAGAACTTTTAAAATATATGTATGTACTTTTAAAAATATTTTTATTGATTGCAGAGAGGAAGGGAGAATAAGAGATAGAAACATCAATGATGTGAGAGAATTGTTGATCAGCTACCTTCCACATGCCCTCCCACTGGGGATCCAGCATGCAATCTGGGCATGTGCCCTGACCAGGAATTCAACCAGTGATCTCTCTCTCTCTCTCTTTCTCTCTCTCCCTCTCTCTCTCTCTCTCTCTCTCTCTCTCTCTCTCTCTCAGGAATTCAACCAGTGATCTCTCTCTCTCTCTCTCTTTTTTTAAATATATTTTATTGATTTTTTACAAAGAGGAAGAGAGAGGGATAGAGAGTTAGAAACATCGATGAGAGAGAATCATCGACCAGCTGCCTCTTGCACACCACCTACTGGGGATGTGCCCGCAACCAAGGTACATGCCCTCGACCGGAATCGAACCTGGGAGCTTTCAATCCACAGGCCGATGCTCTATCCACTGAGCCAAACCGGTTTCGTTCAACCAGTGATCTCTTGGTTTATAGGTCAAAGCTCAACCACTGAATCACACCTGCCCTGCTTATCAAGAAATTTAAAATGAGGCCCAGGCTGGGTAAATTGGTTGATTAGAGCATCCTCTCAATATGCCAAGATTGTGGTGCAATCCAGTCAGGGCATATACAAGTATCAACCAATGAATAATTAATGGAACAACAAATCATGTTTCTCTCTCTTTCTTCCTCTCTCAAAAATCAATCAATAGCTTTAAAATTTTTTTTAATTATTTCAAAATGCTAGTATAATTTCCTGTCTTATAGCCTTATCTCAACTATGTAAACAAAATCAAAGAAAAATAAAGGAATTCTAAAAATAAGAACGATAGAAAAGGTACTAAAACACTGAGTGGTATCCTCTGATGGTGCAGTTACACGATATATTTATTTCTACTATTTTTCCATATCTCAAAATTTTGCGATTTCTACTATTTTTCCATATCTCAAAATTTTCCATATCTCAAAATTTTGAGTCACAAAAATAAACATTTTTAAATGGCTGGATAACCGGTAACAAAATCACTGAAGTAAAAGGACTCTAACTGGATGCAGTATTTTAAGGGACATTAAAATAATGACATTTATTAAGTATGAACTACTCTTTCAACTTTAAAAAAATTTCTAATACAAAGGTCTGTGGTGAAAATTTTTGCTTTACTTGCAAAAAAAGAGCAGTACTGAGTCCTGGTGTTTGTGTTGGCAACATGGTTTGTTGGGAAACGTTTACTGCAACTGAGCTCCATCGCTATACACATCGCTATACTAGTAGGTGCGAGGACAATGCTGAGCAGATGCACAAAGGAAGCTAATTTTGTTCCTATTACGTGTTACTGGTGAGCACAGGTTCTGTACGACTAGCAAGCATACGGAAAGCAAACCAGGGGCGCAGACTGAGCTCCAAGTGTCCAATTAGGTTTCACTCGCACCGCGCAGCACTCAGGGCGGCCCGCCCACGGCGGCCTACGGCCCCCGGGTACGTGTCCGCTTCGCCGCCACCCGCCCGCCCGCTCACCGCTGTCTTCCCTCTCCAGTGCCCGCTGCAGCCGCGCCGTTTCGCCGTCCACGGTGGCCGCCAGGGACCGCAGCTTTGCACAGAAGCTCCGGATCGGGTCCATGGCGACCTCAGCGCCGCGGGCCCCGCCACTCGTTTGAATTCCCGGCGCCGGAAGTTTCGTTGGTCCCTCCGCCGGCGCACTCGTCCTCTCTCGCGGGAGCCGAAGTCTCGCGGGAGCCGGCTCCGGCGGAGGAAGCCACCCCGGGCGGAGCACCGCACCGCGGACGCTGCGTCAGGAGGCGTGCGGGACGCGGCTCCCGAGGCGGTGGGCTGGTGAGTGCGCGGGCCTCGCGGCCGCTCGGGGACGCGGGCGGGCGATCACTTCCCCGGAGACGCCGGCCCCCTGGCGCCCGGCCAGCCTGTTCCCGTCTCTGTTCCCACAGGCGCCATGTTCCTGACCGCGCTCCTGTGCCGCAACCGCATCCCCGGCCGGCAGTGGATCGGAAAGCATCGGCGGCCGCGCCGCGTGTCCTTCCAGGCGAAGCAGAACACTCTGCGCCGCCTGGAGACGGAGGCGGAGAACCACTACTGGCTGAGCGCGCCCTTCCTGAGCGCCGCGCAGGAGTTCGGGCACGCCGCGGCCCGCAGGGCGGCCGCCTTCGAGGCCATCAAGGCGGCCAAGGAGGCCAAGTTCCCGCAGCACCGGCGGCTCGCCGACCACCTCGGCCACTTCAGCGTCACCAGGAAGTGGGCCTGAGCGCCGCCCGCCGGCCGGAACCGGGAGCTTTGGGAGGACGGGGCCTTCAGGAACCGTGGCTTGGGCGGAAAACCCCACACACTGCACGGATAGGTGAACCTGTATAATTTTATTAACCAGTGTCACCCCAGTAAGTTCAGTCTAAAAAACGACCTTTGGACCAGAGTCGTGAGCACGGCGTTCAGAACATTAGGTCTCAAGCTCCAGCTTTCCTCGTGTGTTTCTGTTTCTTGACCAGGGTTATAGTGACATAAGGTGCATTTTGGATTAACCTGCGATGAAACTGCAAACTAAAGGCATGAAGTCCGTGTATGTGACACCCAATGGGTTGCCTAAACGTAAATGAAAACAAGCTGTCAAATATATTCCTAAAAATGTCATTTTTTTCCTTCTATCAACAGTGGACATTTAAATGAAATAAAACTTTTTTTAAAATCAGAATTGTATGAAAGTGTGTTTTTTAAAACTTGATCGGAAAAAAACCACTTTACCAGGATAAAATTAACATGTACAATTAATCAGTTGTGGATCTTTTCTTTCAAATAACCTTTTTCTGGATAAAAATAGTCAAGCACTTTACACGTGTCATCAGATACAGTAATCCTATTGAGGCAGGTTAGTATGAAACTAGGCAAATTCCCAGCTAAGTGGAATGGAGAAACAGACAAGTGGCTGAACAAACTTGGAACTGCTGAGCAGAGATTCTGTTTTCCCTAACCAAAGATAATGAAAAGGAAAATGGAGGGCTTAGAACCTAGTTCAGTATCTGGTTAAAACTGTAGTCTTACTTCCCCAGGCTGACTGAGTTGGGCGGAGCTGCGGGGACCCACCACAGGAGGAGACATATAGATAAGAGCCTCCCCTCTGGATTCGGAATTCCCCTGAGTTAGCAGACCTGTGAAATAAAGGTTAAACTTTCCTCCCTCGGAGTGCTGGCCGAACCTTCTCCCGTGCATTCTGCCACAACGCTAAGAGCAGGTGGCTTAAATTATCTTAGGAAGATAGAAACAAAAAATCACAATTAGAGCCAGACTAATCCAAGAGGGAAGTGAAATTAACCAGAAATTGACCCTTATACTCTTTAATACATCAGTTACCAAAGGACACATTTAGAAGTCCAGTGAATATTGAGATCCTATCTGGGAGCCTCCCCTAAATTCCCACCCATAGAAATAGATAAAACCCTCAGGACAGAACTGGTGTGTGCTCTTTGAGCATCCAGAGCTTTGCATCTTCTAAGATTCTGGATGAGACCTAGGGGAGCAATGGGCAGCAGCAGCAGCTGTTGCAGACTTACCCCTGGTCCTTCCTCCAGGGGGTCCTTCCTTTGCTTCTGGCTCAAGCTTTAATAAACTTACCTGGGAAGGAGTCTCCCAATACTATCATTTGGGACAGTTTTACCTGTGAGGAAACATTTGAGGAACTTCAAAATTACCCTCCCAGTAATGACAGTGACTTGGATTTGGATTGCTATATAATCCAGAAATCTTTTGTTTAATAGGAAATTTTCCAAAATGCACAGAAGAGAAATTTCACTGCCTCCTGCCACGTCCCCCCTCTCCCCTCACTTTGCCCCCAACTCTGGAAACAAACTATACATGAGTCCACAGGTACACAACATGGACCATGAACTTTTAAAACTCAGTGGCATCATACTATGTATATAGATTTATGCTATTTTTTTCACCTATTTTTTGTTAATCCTCACTCAATATTTTTTTCCATTGATTTTTAGAGGAAGGGAAGGGGAGAGACAGAAACATCAATGTGAAAGATATATCCATTGATGGGGGCCGGAGAGCCTGCAACCAAGGACATGCCTTTGATAAGAATTGAACCCTCAGGCCTTCAGTCTGAGGGACCAACACTATAACCACTGAGCCAAACCGGCCAGGGCTCAATGTCTAGGATCTTTCCAGGGAGTTATTTTAATTTTATGAATATAAAAATGTAGAATATGTAAGTGGCTTCATTGTATCAACACAGTAATAATTTAGGCAATTTCCTTTGTTGTTAATCTTCCCCAAGGATATTTTTTTCCATTGCTTTTCAGAGTGGAAGGAAGGAGGAGGGAGAGAAAAACTGATGTGAGAGACATCAATTGGTTGCCTCCCACACATGTTCCTACTGGGGGTGGGGAGTGAACTCTTGCACTCTTGACCACGAATCAAACCTGAGAGCTTTTTGTGTGTGGGCCGAAGCTCCAACCATTAAGGCACACTGGCCAAGGTGACAATGTCCATCAATATTTACTACTTTTAAAAAACCTCTCAAGCCGGGACTGGTTTGGCTCAATGGATAGAGCGTCGGCTTGGGGACTGAAGGGTCCCGGGTTCGATTCCGGTCAAGGGCATGTACCTTGGTTGCGGGCATATCCCCAGTAGGGGGTGTGCAAGAGGCAGCTGATCGATGACTCTCTCTCATCGATGTTTCTAACTCTCTATCTCTCTCCCTTCCTCTCTGTACAAAATCAATAAAATATATTTAAAAAAAAAAAAAAAAAAAAAAAAACCTCTCAAATACTAGTCACATCTGTAGGAAAGATTTTTTTCTTTCTACGTAGGAAAGTACCAAGTTCTGTGTTTCTCTCCAGTGTTTCTCCTTTACTACACACGAAACACTTAAGATCACCAATTGTGGAGGTTTTCCCTCCCCCACCAAGCAATTCTTTACAACACCAGCTGCAAAGGATTTAATTCTGGCACTGTCTACCTGGACATAAACTCAGTCTCACAAAACTGATCCCCACCCTGCTGTAGTTGCCCCTTGCAAATATTAGATCCCCCAAATTAACCACAACTGCTGTTCATCTTGCTACAAATAAAAAGTTTCCTTAACCCCCTCCTCAGTTTGGGTCAATTTGCTCCAGCAGCTCACAGAACTCAGGGAAACACTTCAGCAGTTTACTAAAGGATACGATAAAGGACACAGATGAACCACCAGATGAAGAGATGCGTAGGGTGAGGTCTGAGGGTCCCAAGCAGATTTAATCCCCGTGGAGTTAGGGTGCCAGCCTGGAAGTTCTCCAAACCTTCCATGATTGGGATTTTACGGAAGCTTCCTCAAATGGGCAAGTGACTCCATTTCCAGCCCCACTTCCCTCTCTGGAGGATGAGGGGTAGGTCTGGAAATTCCAAGCTTTTTCTAGTCTTTCTGATGACCAGTCCCCACCCAGGAGCCCACTCAGTCACCTCATTGGAACAAAAGAAGCTTCTAGTGCTCTTACTTAGAAAATTACAAGGGATTTATGAGCTGTGCCAGGAACTAGGGGCACGGACCAATACATGTATTTTCTATTACCGCAACATACACATCTCTATATGAATTTTTAAAAGTGGGGTTGTCAGAGAGATTATGTGGTGAAACTTGGACACATAATGTCATATTACCTTTATTTATTTTTACCATTAAGCCATTTTATACCCCCCACCAAAAATACTTCTTTGCTCATATTCTCAGCAACACTGGTGATTGCCTATCTTAGGCAAAATAATGAAGCTGAGTATCTTTATCCATGCTGTAACCAAACAATCCTATTTTTTAAGTTTCATTAATACTCACCTGAGGATACTTTTTCCATTTATTTTTATTTTTTAATATATTTTTATTGATTTTAAGAAGGGAGAAGGAAAGAGAGATAAAAACATCAGTGATAAGAGAATCATTGATCAGCTGTCTCCTCCTAGGGATCAAGTATTTAATGCAGGCATGTGCCCTTGACTGGAATTGAACCCGGGACCCTTCAGTCCACAAGCCGTTGCTCTACTCTGAGCCAAATCAGCGAGGGGTTCCATTGGTTTTTAAGGAGAGTGGGAGGGATGGATGGAGGGGAGAGAAAACATCGACCTGAGAAAGACACACTGATTTGTTATCTCCTGCACAGAGCCCAACCCGGGCTGGGATGGAACCTGCAACCCAGGTATATGCCCTTACCTGGGAATAAAACCCATCTGATATAGAAGTTTTTACTCCAGTCTCAGATCCTTCTTGCTTCAGCAGCCTCAACTATTAACCTGTCCTTTTGGAGGACAGGTTAATTAGAACACATATGCCACAAAAAATTCTACATAAAATAAAATTTATTATTCAGCATTTTGAAAACCACAATTCAAAAACTAAGTGTTTCGCAAGTACTTATGATTCCAAAGTTACGTCTGAATTGAAAATTATGTTCAGTAAAAACTAAGTTAAAATTTTTTTGAATAAAGCAATCTATACTTCTGGCTTAGGTAAACTACAATATTGTTACATTCAAATATTAAATGTCTTAGATATAGTTACTCTAAATTATTAGCCAAATTTCTCTAAACATTATTTTACCAGATTTATGACCAAAATAATAATTATTCTTTCATTTTGCAAACACCACTTTATAATAAGAAACTGTTCAAATACAGAACTTTAATAAAGTAAGTTATGATTTTTGAAAAAAGTTTAAAATGCTCAGCCTTCATGTTAATGTAGTTAGGCTATCCAAAAGACAAAGCAAAAAGTTAACATTAAGTCATGGTCCAGGGTTATATTTATGAAAAACAAATACAAGATTTATGGGACTCGGCAGGTAAAGACAACCAAAGGAAACTGTATTTCAAATCTGTTTAAATAAAAACATGAAAGATCAATTTAAAAGTGTCCACCTTTTCTTTTAAATGGGCATAGACTCATCTGCAATTATTACAAATATAATAAACTTCACTAATAGCTTTCTCAAGCTTTTAATATTTGCTTCCTTATGCAAACCAACAAAATAATACAAAGTGAACTTGTTAGAAAAATATGAACCTTTCTGAGTCTATATTGCACTTTAAATTTAAATTGTAAAATATAGTACTAGTTATATGAAACCCCTATTGACTTATTATTACCTGTATCTTACATATTATTACATCTAGACTTTATGTTGGCTGAAATGCAAAAATATAATTTCTTAATAACAGATTAAAAGTACAGTGCTATTCCTGGAACAAAACATAAGCTAAACATATTTGTCTATATTTGTGCCCCAAATATACAAATCCTAACACCAAGCCCTTAATACACATTTTTTCGCTTTAAAGTTTACTGAATGGAAATCTGACATATCTGATAATCTTGAAATTAAACTTTGTAAAAAAAAAAGTAAAAATCTGTATTCTAATAGAAATAAAATTCAAATAAACTTTGCATATTTGATTTAAACTAATCTTAGTCAAATTAACTTATGACACATTGAATCAGAACCATTAAATATGTAAAAAGATTTAAAAAATCACCCATATGGCCCTGGCCAGTTTGGCTCAATGAATGGAGCGTTAGCCTGCAGACTCAGAGGTCCCGGGTTCAGTTCCGGTCAGGGGCATGTGCCTTCGTTGTGGGTGCATGCCCAATGGGGAGTGTGCAGGGGGCAGCTGATCGATGTTTTTCTCTCATCGATGTTTCTAACTCTCTGTCTCTCTTCCCTCCTCTCTGTAAAAAAATCAATGAAATATCTATTTTTAAAAATCATCCATATGTAAAGATGAAACTAAACTCTGTAAACGTGTCCCTGTTTAATAACTATTCTACTGCAGCTACTCTTTGGTTTGGCAAAGTGATACTGGTCAGTTACCTCAGGGACTGAATGTAAGTTTGTACCAGGTAAAATCAAGTCTCCTGTTACTTTTTTTTTTTTAATGGCAATGACAATACCTGAAATTCAACTTAGTATCTTTAAATGTCATTACATTTGTTCAAGTATTTGAAGGACCAAAGACAGTACTAGTAAATTTTCACAGGGTTTCATTTTGACCTTTCTCCTCAAAGAGTGACAGCACTAACCAACACCAGTTGAAATAAATACCAGAGAGGCAGCTGGTCCCTGATTCCCACACCACACCAGTAGGCCCTTGCTAAGAGTAGTGAATATGTATGATTAAACTCAGCCAAATATTATTCAGAATGTGGTAAAATATTGGCCATGAATTAAACCAAAGGTAATTAAAAGGTTTTAATAGAAAATTTCTGAAAAGGTGTTTACTACACTATTAAAGATGATACTAACAGAACTTAAAAGAAAGATTACACCATCACAAAAGTGCCTGAATACACTAAGGGGGTAAATTGTTTCTCACTTGTTAATCAGATGCATGCAATTCTAATATAGATGTAGAAATACTCATAAACAGTGCCAGATCATTTCTGAAAGTATTACATTTAAAACATTGACTATTTCTTTCTTTACTATATGCAAATTGCCAAAAGGATGATTTTGGTTGGTAACTGTTATCAGTCATTTAACTCTCATACTTAAAAGTTCTTTAGAATCAAGATTATCAAGACTACAGAGTTGAAATAAAGGTGCAAGAATCTGTATTATATTTTTAAACCTACCATATTCCTTCTGTTCAAAGTGGAAACTTACTTTTAAAATCTAATATTACTATTAGTCAATGGAATTAAGTAAATCCTAGAAATTATAAACCTGAAATAGTTTACTATAAAGCTTATACGGAAAAAAATGTAAATGACATGAGGAAAGTATAGAACTATCCCTAGTATACTGTTTGACGTATAGAAGATACTCCAGAAGTATTTGTTGGATGAATGAAAAGGTGATTTTGCAAAAATTAAAGAATATTAGAGGTCACCCAGTCCAAGTCACTGGTAACACCCCCTCTTTTCAATCCTATGTTACAGATAAGAAAACTACAAACCTAGATAATTATAAATGCTGGCTAACATTTAGCTCTGCTGGCATGGCTCAGTGATTGAGGGTTAACCTATGAACTAGATCACAGTTTGATTCTCGGTCAGGGCACATGCCTGGGTTGGGGGCTCTATCCCCAGTGTGGGGTGCAGGAGGCAGCCAATCAATGATTCTCTTTCATCACTGATATTTCTATCTCTTTCTCCCTCTCTAAAAGCAGTAAAAATTTATTTTAAAAAATTTATCTCTATCCAATTATTTTGGTTTGTGTATAGTATTTGACTAAACAACATAAGGACTGACATTTTTACATTGTTTCTCCTTTGTAAGGTATTTTTTTCTTTATAATTAGCCAGAGGCTGAGGGGTTCCTCAGCTTGGCCTGCGCTGGCTTGCAATCCAGGACTGCTTGGGAGATGTCAATCTGCTGGTTTTGGGCTGAACCCGCAGTCTTACATCCTGAGGGATGTAGAAGTGACCAAAGCAGCAGGCGGCCAGGGAGCTGTGCTGCTCCTGCTCATCGGGGCCCCACTGCACCTGCCATGAGCCTGGCTCAGTCAGTTGAGTGGCACTCCTACTGTGGGAGTGCACTGACCACTAAGGGGCAGCTCCTGCATTGATCTTCTGCCCCCCTGGTGGTCAGTATGTGTCATAGCAAGCAGTCAAACAGTCAATTGGTCGCTTAGGGTTTTATATGCATAGATGCAACAGTTCTTGCCCCTTAGACTAGATTTCAAAAGGAAAAGAGGGTATGTATCTAGGTAGAAAGATGTTGCTGTTCTGTCAGATTTAGTATTTTGGATTTAAGAGTGGAATCCACCTTTCAGAGAATGGAAGTTTTAACTGACTATTCAGGTTGCCTGACTGGTGTGGATCAGTGATTGAGAGTCAACCTACGAACCAGGAGATCACAATTTGATTCCTGGTCAGGGCCAGGGTTGTGGCACCTACCTTTGTCTAATATTTCTGAAATCCTTTGTGTTTTCCTGCATGTGCACTAATAAAATTTTTTTAAGTAATTGTAAATCAGAGAAACAAAAATATTTTATACTACCAAGTTTCCTTTAAGGCAATCCTTGGGCACAATACTATACATTGTTGTATTAATGCTTAGAACTAAGCCTTCAATAAATTATACAAATGTGCTTCATGTTGTAAACCATTATATTTAGATATCTTAATCCTTCTGCGTGTTATTGTATAGTCAACAATAAAAAATCTTTATTAAAAATGTTGAAAAGTATAAAACAGTATTTATAAATGATCAAACACCCAATCTTTTAAAAGCAGTTATTTCCTTTTCCCTACACAGTATAAGCAACAGTAATTTTGATATTATTATTCAGTTTCAGCCACCATGCTGTCCTAAATGTACTTCACTTAAGAGAATTTTTTAGCCTCTGTTTCTGGAGTGAAAATTCACATAGACACCAAGAAATAACTCTGATAATGTAACTCAAAAAAAAGATACATATGCCATGTTAAACATATGATCTGACATATTATAGCATTTCATAACAATAAAAGGTATTTGCAAAGTAAAATCAAGTCACTTTTGCAGCTGTAAGTCAATGCTGGACTTAAGATTAAGGCATCTTCCTGCTCTGCAGTAGTGCGTCTGTGGATCCAGGGATCTGTAAAAAGGCTTCCTTTTTTGAAAAAATATATCTTCTGTTATACTTCAATTATTTCATCCCATTGATAATTTTCTTGCAAATAATACTGAAAATATCAGTCCATGTTTTTATAAACCTATAAAACCAGAAATAATTGAATTATTGGTAAAAGCTTGATTTTATATTTCTGAAAACAAGGTTTATTAAATGGTTCTATGGGCTAAGATATAAAGCTTCTACTAATATGACTAGATAGGAAATAAATATTTTAATACTGCTATACTGTAATAATGATTTTTATAAGCAGTAAACAAAGGATATCTGACTTTCTTCCTCTAAAGCATCAGGAAAGTATTTTAAAACAGGCAGAGTCTCAGGGTTGTCCCTTACTGTTCACTTGGACATAATCTGAAGATTCATCTTATCCACACCTTTTTAAGACTGTTGAAAGGATGTAGGGAAGACTCACAGCAATAGTTCTAGGAACTTCAGCTGGGGATTCTCAACCATTACAGATAGCAGCTACTATTCTGCCTGTAGTAAGAAGAAATAAAGCCAGGACTTAGGCCCAATTGCTGTACCGCAGTTCTCAGTGGCACTGACAAGTGCTCCTGCTGCTCATCTTCCGAGTCCAGTCTGCTCCACCTTACATGAGCCTGCCCAGAGTGCCTGTGTTCTGATTTTGTCTGGGTCTCAGGCTCTAGGTCCTTGGTACTGAACTGAATGCTCATTGCTCATGACAAATGCCTGAAAGGAAGCAAAGACTTCCTTAAGACTGCAAAGGACAACGCTTTTTAAAAAATGAGCTCATGACAATAGGAACTATGGTAATGAATGTGTGTTGTCTGAAGCTGTTAGGTTTGTGGGCATTGATTATGGAGCAGTAGGTAACTAAAACACTTTAAGTTTGTTAAAAATTGAACACCTTCACAAGATGCTCTAAGCACTGAGCTCAGCTCCTGAATGACTGAAGCAGCTGTATCCTTAACTTTAGTGTCAGGAGAGACTTCACTACATTCCTGCAGTTCAACTCTAGATTAGCAATTACCCTCACTTCTCAGACTGCTGATCCACCTGGACTGTCTTCTGTGGCTGTTTCTGGACACACAGTGAAGAATAGCTCATTCATGTACTTGCCTACAGAGTAAGCTGCTCTTTTACAAAGTAAATAACATTTTTTCAGCGTTTAGTGTTAGTCACAGTCTTTAGTCACTCTTCTCTGGATCCAATTTCTTCAATAGTGGGCAAGTCCCCTTTTTGTCTATTGCCGTTGTAACAAAGTTATTTATCCCTGTGAGCACATTAATTATATATGATCTAATAATGAATTGAGTTGCTGGCTAAATAGCAAAATTGATGATTAAAATAAAAGCAACTCATATAAGCACTAAATAGGTAATATGGTGCCAACCATTTGTCTTCTTGTAGAACCCAGAAGCAGTGCTAAGAGCTGAAAGTCTAGTTTTATGCTTTTTAATTATTTATTTTAAAATGTTTTTATTGACTTCAGAGAAGAAGGGAGAGGGAGAAAGAGAAACATCAATAATCAGAGAGAATCGTTGATCAGCTGCTTCCTGCAAGCCCCCTAATGGGGATCAAACCTGTAACTTGGGCATGTGACCTTGACTGGAATTGAACCTGGGACCTTTCAGTCCACAGGCCAATGCTATATCCACTGAGCCAAACAGGCTAGGGCCCATGGCTTCTTTATTTTGTTTTGTTTCCATTGTCATAAAATATATTTTTTCATGCCTTTACTTTGAAACTGTGTGTGCCTTATGATCTGAAGTGAGTCTCTTGCAGACAGCATAAGTAAGGGTCTTATTTTATTATCCATTCAGTTACTGTATATCTTTTGATTGGAGTATTTAATCCATTCCATTTTTAAAACTTTTTTTTTTTTTTATTGATTTTAGAGAGGAAGTGAGAGAAATAGAAACATCAATGATCAGAAAACGAATCATTGGTCTGCTGCCTCTTGCACGCCCCCTACTGAGTATTGAACCTATATTGAGCCTGGGCATGTGCCTTGACTGAGAATTGAACTATGACCTTCTGGTTCATAGCTCAATGTTTAACCACTCAGCTACTCGGGGTGGGCTATCCATTTGCATTTTTTAAAATATATATATTTTTTATTGATTTCAGAGAGGAAGGGAGAGGGAGAGAGAGATAGAAACATTAGTGATGAGAATCATTGATTGGCTACCTCCTGCACGTCCCCTTCCTGGGGATAAAGCCCACAACCAGGCATGTGCCCTTGACCAGAATTGAACTCAGGACCCTTGAGCCCACAGGCCAAAGCTCTAGCCACTGAGCCAAACTTTGCATTTAAAAGTAATTGTTGACAGATATGTATTTACTGCCATTTTATTATTTATATTTTATGTAGGTTTTTTTCTCTTCCTTCTTTTTCTTAAAGAAGACTCTTTGTTTCTTGTAATACTGCTTTGGTGGAAATGAACTTTAGATTGTTCTTGTCTGGGAAGCTCTTTATTTGTTCTATTCTAAATGACAGCTTTGCTGGGTCGAGTAATCTTAGTTGTAGATCCTTGCTTTTCATCACTTTGAATATTTTGTGCCTATCTCTTCTGGCCTGCAAAGTTTCTATTGAGAAATCAGATGACAGTAATAAGTGAGTTATCTTGTAGATAACTAACAGCTTGTCACTTGCTGCTTTTAGAATTCTCTTTGTCTTTAATCTTTGGCATTTTAATTATAATGTCTTTGTATGGGCCTCTTTGGGTTTATATTGTTTCGGACTCTCTGTGCTTCGTGGACTTGTATGTCTATTTCTTTCACCAGGTTAGAAAAGTTTTCCGTCATTATTTTTTCAAACAAATTTTTAATTCCTTGCTCTCTCTCTCTGGCACCACCATGAACTGTTGGTACGCTTCAAGTTGACCCAGAGGGTCCTTACACTATCTTCTTTTTGGGTTCTTTTTCCTTTTTGCAGTTCTAAATGCATATTTTCTGCTTCCTTATTTTCTAAATTGATGATCTAATCTTCTGCTTCATCTACTCTACTGTTGATTCCCTGTAATTTTTTCTTAATTTCAGTTATTGTACTCTTCATTTCTGTTTGGTTCCTTCTTTATAATTTCCATGTCCCTTTTCATGCTACTGAAGTTCTTGCTAGTTCCTTGAGTACACTTAAAATCATTGTTTTGAACTCTATCTGGTAGACTGCCTTCATTTCATTTAGTTCTTTTTCTGCAGATTTTTCCTGCCCTTTCATTTGGGACATGTTTCTTTGTCTCCTCATTTTGGCTGCTCCCCTGTGTTTGTTTCTATGTTTTTGGTAGAGCTGCTATGTCTCTGGACTTGGTAGAATGGCCTCATGTAGTAGGTGTCCTGTAGGGCCAGTGGAGCAGCCTCCCCAGTCACTTGAGCTGGGCACTCCAAATGCACTCTGTGGGCTCTGTGCACTGTCCTGTTGTAATTGAGTCTTGATTGTTTTTAGCAAATCACTTGTAGGGATTTGATTGTAAGAGATATCTCAGCTTGCAGAGGTCCCCCCTAAGGAGTGATGGTCCCAGCCCCACATCAGAGCCCCCAGCCCAGGGTTCCAGTGCCAAGAGGAGCAGTCCCATAACTTTTCTATCTGTTAAAACCAGCGGGAATTTAGGCCAATCAACTGCAAAGACTAGCTGAGAGGACATGTTTTGACTACAGTGGAGAAGCTGTTGTGCAAGGCCAATCCCGTAGAGCATGACTTGCTACAGTGGGGCTTTGGTGCCTGCTACCTCTAGCCCTTGAGTGTGTCGCTTGTAGAGGTGGTTGGGATGACATCTGGAGTGATCTGGTGCTGTCCACTGAGTGCACTAGCTCTTGGGCCTCCCAAGAGGTGCAAGGTCAGTCACTGCCTATGACTTGCCAAGGGCCATCCAGCATAAGCTATAGAACAATCTGTAGTTGACTGCTATTTTGCTTATTTGGAGGTGTCTAGTGGAGAGGCCAAACTGCAAACCAAGACTAGCTATCAGCAGTACCAGGCCTGGAGCTACTTAACAAGAAGTATGAGGTAAACAGAGGCCAGCTGCTGCTTGAGAGATTTTAGAAATGTCCGAAGCATAAGCCAGAATATGGAAAAGCCACTGGAAAGGGGTTGGATGGGTCTGCAAATGGAAAGGTGGAACGGGGGGACTCAGCAAATCACCAGGGTGAGGCCAACAGTGTTAGCTAGTGTTGATGGGACTGATATGGTGTCCACCTGGGGGTTTTGTAGGAGGAGAGCTTAGAAAAGGAACAATGACCTCTGCTGGCACTTCTGTCTGGGAGAAAGTTGCGCCTCTAAAACTTACCCTGCAGTCAGACAATTCAGTCCCTCTCTTTATGGCCCCATATGGCATCTTTTGAGTTGCTGCTCTAAAACTGGGGTTTAGAGAAAGTGAGTCTGACTAAATCCTTTTAGAGGAACACCTGGGTACCTCAGCCTCACTTAGAGACAATTCCCGCTGGTTTTAGCAGATAGAAAAGTTATGGGTCTGCTCCTCTTGGCACTGGAACCCTGGGCTGGGGGCTCTGATGTGGGGCTGGGACCATCACTCCTTAGGGGGGGACCTCTGCAGCTGAGATCTCTCTTCCAACTTTTAACTGCCGTCCCTGAGTATGGGACCAGCCGACCAGCCCATTCCACAACCTCACCTTTCCTACCAGTCTTGATGTGACTTCTTCTAATATATCCCTAGTTGTGGGACTTCTGATCAGCTAGATTTCAGGTGCTCTGAATAATGGTTGCTTGGTATTTTAATTGTAATTTTGATGGGGTTGTGCGAGATTCTGAGTACCACATTTACCTATGCTGCCATCTTGACCAAAACTCACCTTGTTTAAGATTTATTCAGAATTGTGCCAAATGAACTTTCTATGCCTGAGTTAAAGAAATACATGGCTGGGTAAAAAAAACCCAACAGCAACCTTTCTGTGAACAGAACAAGACACAGTAGCAGCCACTACACTTCCTCACTGAACCCCCTTCTCCATAAAATCTACCAATAAACACTAACACACTGTGTGTGTGTGTGTGTGTGTGTGTGTGTGTGTGTGTGTGAGGGAGAGAGATGTTTTATTTAAAAATTTCATATATTTTAGTATTTTAAGATTTTTATACATTAATTCAATCTGGTGAATTTATTTTAACTAGATGAAGTGTTTTTTTCAGATGACAAGTATTACCTGATCTGACAGTATCTTCTTCAGATCCATTCTCTGTCCATTGAGATTCACTGTCCAGCAATCGGTTTTTTGATTCACTAAGTGGTTTGATAGGAAAAGGTTGATTTGAGCCAATACTGAAAAGAAGAGTAAACAATTTAGAAAATAGTTTAATGCTCAATTAAGAATACTAAATTAGCCTGGCTAGTGTGACTGAGTGGCTGTGCATTGACCTATGAACCAGGAGATCACAATTCAATTCCTGGTCAGAGCATGTGCGCAGGTTGAGAACTCGGTCTCCGGTGGAGGTGGGAGGAGGGGGGCGTACAAGAAGCAGCAGATCAATGATTCTTTCTCATCACTGACATTTCTCTCTCTCTCTCTTCTTCTGAAATTAATAAAAAATTAAAAATAATAATTAATAAGCAGCAAATTAGTATTCTTTCTCCTAAACATATGAGGCCAAATCATAAGATCTCAGCACTCTGAAAAAAAAACCAACACAACTCTATCTTCAAAAGAAAAATATGCCCACCCCCTCATCAAATGGTTCTCTAGACCCAAGAATCTGTACTCTAGCTGCCAATGAAAACAATTAGGCAAAAGAAAAAAGCTTCAGAGGCCAACCTGAAACATTTTTAACATATATTAATCAAGAGCCATAAGGTAGCATTAGGACAGGTGTGTGGCCAGGACAAAAAAATTACCTGTCATCTTTCAAGTTTTCTGCTTTCTATCTCTGCAGTTTAGATCTAAGGGAAAAAATGATTAAGTGATATAGCATAGACTTATTTTTCTAGCTAACAGATTAGGAAGAGAGGGAATGGAGGAACAAAAGAAGGAAAAGGGAACTAATATATTATATACTACTATGGGCCAGATACTTGTCCTAGGTGCTGTATGTCCATTATTTCAACCTTTGCAAAAACTGGAGGTAGATATAGAGCTGGAAACTGAAGCTCAGACAGTTTAAATGATTTTAGACCCATTATCAATGTTGGAGGTCTAAGGTCTTAGCTAAGGCCTAAAGTTCTAAGGCCTACATGCTTTTGATATTAATATGCAAACTTGTAATTAATAATCTCTTCTCCATCCACCATTAATTTCTGTAGTAAGTTCCAACTATTTCACTTTGACAGAATATCTCTCTCTCTCTTTTTAAAATTGATTTTGGAAAGAGAAAGAGAAATACTGATTTCTTATTTGTGCCCAGACCAGAGATCAAACGCACAACCTTGGGTATCATGATGACGTTCTAAACAACTGAGCTACCTGGTCAGGGCCAAAAGTATCTTTATCTTCTTTAAAATTTCATTTCAAATTCATTACCCTGAATGTATGGATCAGTTTGCTTGCCATGCAAATACTGAGAAACTATCCTATAAAATGAATGAATGAAATTTTATATTTGTATTTTTTAAATTTTCAATCTCATTTTCACACTACAGTTAAAATCTGTTTATAAAATTCAATGGTGAATAGAGCAATGACTAATTTCTTTGAAGAAAAACACTTACATATACCAATTTAATCTCAAAAGAATGTCTTAGTTTCTAGGAAAATGCAGCATAGTTTGCCCAGACATTTCCAGTTTTATGTGATTATTCTGGTTCAACTAGTAAGAGTAAGCATTCCCTTTTTACTTTGAAAAGTATTCTGGTTTGGATGATAAAAAGTATTATCCTAAACATATTAAGCATATATATTATATAACAATATAATATATGAGGAGATATATGTGATTAATCCTAAGTTAAACTTCAGTCCTGGTTTGTGTGGCTCAGTTGATAGTGGTGTCATCCTGTACATCAAAAGGCTGTGGGTTTGATTCCCAGTCAGAGCCTATACTCAGATTTTGGGTTCGATCCCCTATTGGGGTATGTATCAATAGATGATTCTCTTTCACATAGTTTTTATCTCTCACTTTCCTTTTTTCTCTTTCTAAAATCAATAAGTTCAGAATTAAAAAAATAATTAAAATATATTAAAATTATTTAAATATATGTTCTCTTTTGCTATGTATGCTGGCTTACTAACTTACTACTCTACCTATAAGATATGTTTGTATCACACATAGATCTATTTTGTTTTATAAGAATACTGAAAAACATAATGACAAGAAGCACACCTTCTGGCATATTCATTTTGGTTTGTAACAGAAGCTTGTTCTGGATCCATTCCCACAAGGCGAGTTGGAAAACTGCAACCATCACCCAAACTGCATAATAAAAAATATCAGTATTATTTTAAATCATATTAAGTTAAAACAATGTTGTAAGTTTAACTCCCATTTTTCAGAGACATGATATAAGGAAATAACCTGTTATTTCAAAGAAAATTTCCTAATCTTTCTAATTAAGAGGGTGATTAACCTCCATAGAAAAAAAACACAGCCTTTTTCTTTAATAACTTACATGAATTTAAAAAGAGTATCTTCCGCCAAAACCGGTTTAGCTCAGTGGTAGAGCGTCGGTCTGCGGACTGAAAGGTCCCAGGTTCGATTCCGGTCAAGGGCATGTACTTTGGTTGCAGGCGTATCCCCGGAGGGGGGTGTGCAAGAGGCAGCTGGTCGATGTTTCTCTCTCATCGACGTTTCTAGCTCTCTATCGCTCTCCCTTCCTCTCTGTAAAAAAATCAATAAAATATATTAAAAAAAAAAAGAGTATCTTCCATAATATTGTATGTCAACTATACTTTAATAAAAAAATTATCTTCCATGACTATTAAAATTATGATACCTGTGAAGATTAGGATACTTCAAACACAAGTATTCAAATATTTAGGTAACTGACCTGATTTTCAAAATCATTTACGACATCATAAAAGCTCAAATTAAAAGTCAAGGTATAAGTTTCACACATATTCATTTGACAACATTCATTAAACCAATATTTACTAAATGCCTATGATATTCCAGGTACTATTTTAAGTGCTAAGGGTCTGGCAGTTAACGAGAAGGAAATCTCTACCCTCAAAACATTTACAATCTAAAAAAATGCAGCTATGCTTACTTTTACATTCTAAAAACATCAAAATTGTGTATAACAAGAACTTTCACCTCCAGCCATGATGGATTAACTATAAAACCTGATCTTTCAGTCTTAAACAATCAGAAAACTGAATAGTATATACAATACAATTTTCAAAACATTATAGAACTGTGCTTTGTGAAAGAAGAGAACTGACCGAGTGAGTTCCAGCCTTTGCCAGGAGGGGACACAGAGCAAGGTGGTCTCACTGAACTGAGGTGACAGAGATAAGGCTTAAGTTAAGGCAGCTTGAATCTATCAGAGCTGAGGAAAAGGGAGAGATGCAGAAGCTGAAGCACAAGAAACTGTATTGAGGATAACTCCCTACAAAAAGAAAAAAAAAAAGAAAAGAAAAAAACTGTCTACCAACAAAACTCAACATTCTTTAAAGGGAGACAAAATTTAAACACTCAGAATTCAAAATGTCACTCATCCAATAAAAAATTACTAATGTGAAAAGTAGCAAGAAAATGTATGCACAAGAAAAAAAACCCAGTCAATAAAAAAGAAGTCGAAACAAAGACTTTAAACTACAGGAAAAGTGAGAAATGAAAATGTAATAAATAAAAAGAACCAAATTGAACTTCTAGAGCTGAAAAATATCTGAAATGAAAAATACACTGGATTAGATTTACAGTTGAGTAAACATTACAGAAGAAAAGATCATGAACTGACAAACATAGCAATATGAGCTATTCAAACTAAAGCAAAGAAAAAAGATGGGAGAGGGAAAGAGAGAGGCAGAAGAGCAATGGCCTGTGAGTCACAATCAAACAATTTAACATAGGTATACTTATCAAGTACCAGTATCTGAAAGGTAGTGGGGAGAGGGCATGGGAAGAGGAAGAGCAGGCAGTAAAAACAACTGAAGACATATGATGAAAATTATTCAAATTTGATGAATACTGTAAAGTCAGATTTAAAAGGCCTAATGGCCCTAACCGGTTTGGCTCAATGGATAGAGTGTCAGCCTGCAGACTGAAAGGTACCAGGTTTAATTCTGGTCAAGGGCATGTACCTTGATTGCAGGCACATCCCCAATAGGAGGTGTGCAGGAGTCAGCTGATTGATGTTTCTTATCGATGTTTCTAACTCTCTATCCCTCTCCCTTCCTCTCTGTAAAAAAATCAATGGAATATATTTTTAAAAGGCCTAATGAATTCCAGAGTGGATAAACACAAAGAAAATCATTCTACTGCCTAAAACCAGTGATAAAGATAAAATTTTCAAAGTAGCCAGGGGGAAATTTACAAACAGTGCAATAAAGGTAAAAGTGGAGCTCATTTTTGTTCCCAAGCCATAAGACAACGGAACATTAACAACAACAAAAAATTGTTTTTGATGCCGAAACCGGTTTGGATCAGTGGTAGAGCGTCGGTCTACAGACTGAAAGGTCCCAGGTTCGATTCCAGTCAAGGGCATGTACATTGGTTGCGGGCACATCCCCAGACTGGTGACATGCAAGGAAGCAAGATCTCAAAATGCTCCCTCTTTTTTAATATACTTACTCTTGCAACTTCTCTCATTCATTATTTATATACTTTCAACTTATTTTCACTTTGAAGGAAAAAGGATATTAATTCTTATTTTTTATGAATCATCTTTTTCAACTTTTCCATTCAAATATATGCCCAAACTCTCTTTTACCCTTGTTAATAAAAAACATAAAAAGAAAATATTTTATAGACTCAAGTTATTCTGGGTTTTCATTCTTAAGGCTAAGAATTATATATTGTAGTTTCTGAACCTTAAGACATTTAACTATAATTTTCATAATTTCTGAAACCTGCATTTTATAAATTACCTTGAAAATATTGGAAGTAGCCAGTATTTCTTTTCATCGCCAAAGACTTGTCTCCAGTTTTTACTGTATCCAAGAGAGAAACCATTTCCATCAGGTCCATATGAAAATGTGGGTGCACTAAATGATTCTGTTATAGACATACATAAAAAAATGAGTTAATCTATTTAAAATCATAGTAGGAACTAAAGTACCAATTTTTTTGTTTTATATCTTTGATATCAAGAACTATAAACAAGAAACCAAGATGATGGCGTAATAACTGGTCTGCCACCTCGCACAACAATTTAAAAATTAAAACTAATACAAAGGACATCTATCACCCCAAACCACGGTAAGGCTGGCTAAAAGAGAAAGGAGCGCAAGCATGGAAAAGCTGAGGAGCCTAGGTACGGAGGCACATGAATCGGGCTGGTGGCGGGTGACTGGCTTTTTTTTTTTTTTCAACACAAAGGGAAACAAACTCCCATCATTTTGAAATCCAGTTTCTGGGGTCACATGGGGGACCCAGACGCCTACAGGGAGAAGCTGGTCTGTCGGCCATTGGGACTGAAAGTGAGGGTGACTTTCCTGCAGAGGTGCACACAGCAATCATTGTTTACTGCGCTGGATCGCAAGGAAGGGGGGACTTGGAAACTTGGGGATTTGGAAATGCAGACTTCACTGTTAGCCACGCCCCAACCTACTGAGGTCCTGAGGCCCCGCCCCACCCTGAGACCCTGCCCTGAAGTCCCACCCACACATTCTACAGACCCGTCCAGGCACCACACAGCTACTTTTGCATATAAATGGCCTGTATTGTGGCAGCTTAACCATATATAAACTGCAGCTCCAACAACAAAACTGCCAAGTTCCAAGCAAAGAGGACAAAATTGTAGTTCTTGAGAGAGGATCCAAGATGGCTGCTCAGGTAGACACCTAACTGCAGCAGCACACAACAATTTCAATGGAATACAACTAAAATGTAGAGTGGACATTGCCCAGAGCTACAGGTAGTCGACCGACGGAAAATTCTAGAACAAGAAGGAAAGAGAAAACCAGAAGGAAAATCAGAGGAGCTAAAAAAGCCTAAGGTACGGAGACAAGCTGTGTGCGCGCGGAGAGGACTCAGCCGGACAGGAGAAGGCTGGGTGCCTGCCTGGCGTTCCCTAGCAGGAAGGAAATAAAAGCCCAGGCCTGCGCTGAACCCCAGAACCGGCAGCACTGAGCCCCAGTTATGGGCCAGACCCTGGGGACCCAGGCTCGGGCAGGGGGAGACCGGGCTGTGAGGCGGAATCCCAGGGGAGCAGCGAAAAGCAGAGCCCCCAGAGTCGCGCACATTGCGTGCAGAAGACAGAATGTTGACTCTGATGCGGGATTGCCCTGGAGGGAAGGAAACAGGAGCTCCGGCCGTGCTGGGCCCCAGTTTCGACTGCTCTGAACCCCAGTTCTAGGCCAGACCCTGGGTAACCAGGCTCAGGCAGGGGGAGACGGGGCTGTGAGGCGGAATCCCAGGGGAGTGGCGAAAATCGGCGCCCCCGGAGTCACGCACATTGCGCGCAGAGGACAGAATGTTGACTCTGATGCCGTATTGCCCTAGTGGGAAGAAACAAAACCTCTGGCGGTGCTGAGCCCCAGACCCGACTGCTCTGTTGACTCTGATGCTAGACTCCCCTAGCGGGAAGGAGAAAAAAAGCTTCAGACTGGAGGAACGCGACGAGGAGCAGGAGCCCCTGCCGGACACCCGCCAGCCGGGCGCCAGCAAGGAGCTGGGCGACGGGGCCCCCGGGGGGGGAGTACCCCTGGGCCTTTGACCACTGAGCGTGGGCCACAGAGCCGAGGCTGGGGGCTGCTTCCTGGGCGGCATGAACCCCAGCAACAGGCTGAAGCAGCACAGGAGCCCGCGGAGAACAAAGGGGTGCCATAGCCCAACCTGCTGAGCTCCCAGGACAAGGAGGAAGAAACCTCCTTGTTTTCAATGTGAAGAAATCAAGTGAGAGCAAAAGATAGTAAAATTACTTAAGAAAGAACACAAAGAAGATCATGAATAATTGAAGACTAAGTCATAAGTCAACTCAGCAGCCAACATTGCAACATAAATGCGTTCTAAAAAAAAAAAAAGGACAGAATGTTGGGATAGCGGCGGCCAGGCTTAGAGTGGCCAGGCACAAAGCACTGGCAACTGGACCCGGAGCAGCAACAGCCAGGCCTGGAGCAGCCAGACTTGGGGCAGTGGCAGCTAGGCCTGAGGCAGAGGCGGCCAAGCCCAGGGTGGCCAGTCCAGGAACACCCAGGCCCGGAGTGGCGGGTCCAGAGAAGCCGGTTCCCAGAGCAGCCAGGTCAGGAGCAGCCAAGCCCAGAACATCCAGGCCACGAGCTACCAGGCTCGGAGCAGCTGGGCCCGGGGCAGCCGGGTCGGGTGCGGCCAGGTCCAGAGCAGCAGCAGCCACGCCCGGAGCAGCCAGGTCAGGAGTGGCAGTGGCCAGAACCAGAGCAGCTGGTTGTGGAAGGACCAGAGCAACAGAGGCCAGGCCCGGAGCAGCCAAGCCCGGAACAGCTTGCTCCTCACCGGCCCCCACCCCAATGCTGCCTCTCAGACATGGCTGGAAACTTTTGGGGGAACTTGAGAGTCTGCTGAATCAAGTGATGAAGGCTTAGATCTGGATGTGTTGAGTTAGTATAGCACTGGGGTGTTGATCTGTGAGTGCCTTGTGTGGGGCCTGGATGAGGTTGGTTGATCTATTTGGAAATGTCTTTTGTGTGAAGTGTATCATTGGGCATGTGGAGGTATTACTGATTTGAGAAAAGGCTAAGTAACTGATTTACTATCTGAAAAATTTAAAGTTCTGAAAGTTTAAGGTCTCTTGCCAAAAAGAGGTTTTAAAGCTAACACCTTAATTTTAATGGAGAAAGGGAATGACAAGCCCTTCCCACCCAGAACAGGTAATCCAATTCCAACCAGCAGCTAAGTTTAAACAATGTGTCCATTTACACTTGAATGGCTACACCTTTTGATAGCCTAAGGGGAAGTTTACATGTAAACAAGTTTGCTCTCAATTCCCAGGGCAGAAAAAAAATAAGGTTTAAAATTATTAGATTTTAAAATTTATTCTTAGAAGTGTAAAAGTTTATTAATTAAACAACAACAACAACAACAACAACAACAAAAGGAGATTGAAAAACCTGATGAACAATAATAGCTGTTCATTGTAGTAGAGTCGGTGATATGGGAGGGGAGTGGACTGACTGTTTTTGGGGAAAGGGAGGGAGGAAGAGACTGAACATAAACTGTGCACCTATGGATGAGGACAATGGGGGTTGGGGAGGGGGTGGAGAGTAATAATATGAACAAGATTGTAATAATATGAACAAGATTGATTAAAAAAAAAAAATTGTAGTTCTTGCCGTAGCTCCTGCAGGGTGGCCTCAGACAATAGCTGAACTGAATCCCATTGGAGATCCAGAAGCCAGTGTTCCTAGTGGTCAATTTCAACCACTCACACCCATAAGTGACACATTCGGGAGAGGGACTCATTGAGCACCAAAGCCCCATTGAAACAAACCGTGTCTCCAGCACAGCAGTTCTTCCTTTATAGACACAGCGGGTCCTCACAGACAATTGGCCTGGAGATCAATTGCTCCCAGTGTATCAACAGCAGTCAAGGCTTAATTACACCAAGACTTTGCACTCAGCCCACAATAGGTCACCTACCACACAAAGCCACCCCATCAACACAGGGAGGAGACACAAAAACATGTCACAAGTGGGAGAGATGGAGAAAATTAAACTACTGGATGACAGAGTTCAGAATCACATTTATAAGATTACTCAAGAATCTTCTAAAAACCTTTGAGAAACCTGATGAGATCTCCAAGAAGCTTTGTGAGACCTTGAAGGACCTTAATGAGAATACCAAAAAAATGAAAAAGGACCAGTCAGAAATTAAGCATACAATGTCTGAAATAAAGAATATACAGAAATTCAACTATAGATCAACGTACCCCAAGAATCAAATAAAAAATCTGAATATAAGGAAGAAAAAAAATCACCCAACCAGAGAGGCAGAAAGAAAGAAGAACCAAAAGTGTGAGGATAGTGTAAGGAGCCTCTGGGATGGCTTAAACCATACCAACATCTGGATTTTTGGGGTGCCAGAAGAAGAGAGAGAGCAGGATACTGAAGGCATATTGAAAGAAATAATGACAGAAAACTTTCCCTACCTGGTGAAAGAAATAGACTTACAAGTTCAGGAAGTGCACAGAACCCCAAACAAGAGGAATCCAAAGAGGACCACACCAAGACACATCATAATTAAAATGCCAAGGGCAAAAGACAAAGAGAGAATCTTACAAGCAGCAAGAGAAAAACAGCTAGTTACTTACAAGGGAGTACCCACATGACTGTCAGTTGATTTCTCAACAGAAACTATGCAGGCCAGAAGGGAGTGGCAAGAAATATTCAAAATGATGAACAACAAGAACCTACAACCAAGATTACTCTACCCAGTAAAGCTATCATTCAGAATTATATCAGTCAGATAAAGAGCTTCACAGACAAGAAAAAGTTAAAGGAGTTCATCAACACCAAATCAGAATTACATGAAATGCTGACGGGTATTCTTTAAGAAGAGGAAGAATAAGAAAAAGGTAAAGGGCCCTGACTGGTTTGGCTCAGTGGATAGAGCGCTGGCCTGTGGAATGAAGAGTCCCAGGGTCCCAGGTTCGATTCTGATCGGGTGCATGTACCTTGGTTGCAGGCACATCCTAGTAGGGGTGTGCAAGAGGCAGCTGATCGATGTATCTCTCTCATCAATGTTTCTAACTCTCTATCCCTCTCTCTTTGTCTCTGTAAAAAAAAAAAAAATCAATAAAATATATATTTAAAAAAAAAGAAAAAGGTAAAGGTAAAAATTATGAACAATAAAAAGGCATCAAATACATACCTACCAACAAATGACTCTAAAAATCAAGTGAATAAAAAATCTGAAGAAAATAATGGATGGTGAATACAATAGAATCAGGGACATAGAAAGCGATTGGACTAACAATTCTCAAGGGAAAGGAGGTCTGAGGGGTGCGGGAAAAGATTGGACAAAAATCTTACACCTATGGATGAAGACAGGGGCAGGGGTAAGGGCATGGGGTGGAGTT